TAGCAGAGTCTATCGCAGCCACCGGGTTAGGGTGTGACTGCCATGTGGCCGTGCTAGAGGAGGGGTCAAACGCGCCGAAACAGCTATTCCTGAAAACAATCGGGCGCAAACCCCTGTTGCATCCAATTTCGGTAAACCTTAACCGCGTTCAGGAGGGGATGGCTTCCTAGTACGAGTATGCGGAGATGACCTTTTTTTTCTCGGTCGGAAGAATTTAGTATTTGCCGTAGACGTTTTATTTGCTGGAATAAGGTTGTCGGAGGTTTGCTACATCAGGGGAATGGGGTAATTCCGTGTACGAGTAGCGATGTATACTCCAGGGCTAGTTATGTACTAAAAAATACTCTGAAGCACTGGCAACTGCTAACTAGTACCAATGATAAGTACTACTAGTTAGTTATACAATGCAGTAGCTACTTCAAGTTGTTTTATAGTTTTACGTATCTAGTATTATCCATTCGGGAAGAATAGACTTGGCAACGTCGACACTGCAGAAGCAGTCCCTGTATATTTCAGCCGCGATCCTTGGCCATAATACTTTCTGCTAGTATAATGACGCTTAATGCGGTATGTCCTGTTTGATCACCGTGCGGCCTTCTCCAGGTCCAACCCTTTCCTCCCCCTCCCCACAGGGACATGGGTAGGAAATTTCCGGGGAGAAGATCAATGCAGATTTATGAGTGGTAGAGGTTGAGAGTTCAAGTTATTGCTCGTGATGATAGTACGCTAAATCGAACTCGTTCGGGAATGTCTACGCACTGCTACTACTACACTCGTAGTTATTGTACACGAGGACATTGAACAGTGGCGATGACAGGTGGGTTTGTCGATCATGGAATATTCTTGTTATGTCGAACATAATCTTTAAAAAAAAATCGTGAGTCACGATGGAGTCTCTCTATGGAGTATTGTTGTTGACGGGAAATGACAGGGACCAATACCATTGTGAGTCAGGTTGAATCACGGCGGGGCGTGAGATCATCGCAAGTCTTGGCATCACCTGCCACAGACACACAACATCCCAGCACTATATCTCTTTGGATCCTTCGACTTCCTTTATATTGCATCTCTGTCTACCATCCAATTGTTAAAGTCTGAATTCGTCTTACGGTATTCTATTCTAATTCCCCCTCCAACCGGGATTTTCCTCGCGCACCGCGGCCAGCACACCACACCGCAGATCTGTCCTGTCGATCCTGGGCAAGGTCACCCGATCTCTGCGTTGGCATTTCAAACGTTACCCTGAAGCACTCTCTTCGCCCCCAGTTCTCCCCCATTCATTCGGACCTAGCTAGGCCCATCATCGACATGGAGAACGGGTCAGTTGACAGCCCTGCGGGTCCGGAGCCCCAGGTCCATCGTAAGTTCATCCCCCCCCTCTCAAAGGCCCTCAACTGGATGGTGGACCCCACGATCAATATACAGAGAAGCTCTGGTTCGTGGTCTGAATCCGCTGGTTTCGTATTTTGAGCCCCTCGTGTGGCAGCTCCATATCCCCATCCATGGCCATGCAACCCACCTGTCGCGTCCGCCACACTCCTCCCGTCATGGCCGCGACCCCTGCAGGTGCTTTTGCCAGCGCGCGAAGCGGGCATTGTGCATCGTTTCTAGACTGGACTGGACTGGGGGCTGAGCGGACGGGCAGCACAACGGCCCGCAACCTTTTTGATCACACGCTCATGTTGATTACTCCTTAGGATCTGAACAGTTGCCATCGACTGATGAGTTGGCAGCCTCGACAACTGCACATGGCGTTGCAGCCACATCTTCATCGAGCACTGCTCACCAATCATCTTCCCGGCGACGGGGCAAGTGCCGCTATTTTGCAACCAAGAAGGGTACGTTTCTTGCGCAAGGTTTATGCTGTTTCGGATTGAAGTTTGTTGTTTTGCTTTACGCGATCTTTGCTATCCAGTACACGAGAATGGAAGGTCTATGTTCCTCGGTTGCGTTTTCGATATGCACGAATTCGAGGAACTGCGAATCGGATAATGACTACCAGTTGTGGCTAGTGGTGTGCCTTCTGCCCATGATTTGGACGAAGGAGGAGGCGAAGCTGTAAACGTGCTTTGATTCAATCGATTTTGCTGCGATATTTCAAGTGCTGTGTCTAGAGTTTGAAGATTGATACTAACTTTGATCCAGGTTGTCGTGCCGGTGCTGAATGCCCATTCATTCACGATGCTTCTGCGATCCAGCAGAATACTTCTCAGTCTGATCAGACGTCCAAATTCCAAAGGTCGGCTGGTAGCTCCAAAAGTACCGACTCTAGTGTAGCCACTGGAATCCAGAATCTGAGCGTCGGTCCAGACCAGCCGAAGGAAAAGCCGGCATCATCACATGCTTCCCAGCCTCAACGGCCCGTCTCGAAGATCGAGCAGAATGACCCAAGGGAGTTCCAGATCAATCAGTTGAGACGGCGATATCGCCCAGAGGAGAAGTCTGATGATAAGGGTACCACATTGACATTCGGATTGACGCCTTCTGATCCAGACTTCCCGTTTGAACTGGATAGCTTACAATGTGTATTGTATGTTCCGAACTCATTTCCAGGCACGGGGCGGCCTACACTGGCCGTCACAAATCCCGAAATGGAATCAGCGTATCAGCAAAATATCAGCAGAGGATTCGATGATGCCGTCGATTTCACGCTGCGAACCAATGGCCGAGGGACTCTGCTCAACTGGCTTAACACTCTCGATAGGCAGCTCGAGCGACTGCTGACCACCCTGGAAAGGGGACCGAAGCTGACGTTCGTGGCCAATATCGGGGGCAATTCTGGAAGTCGAGAGCCTATTCCTAGCGAGAAGGTTGCTCCCGCCCCGGCGAGACTGCCCGAGACTAGGGTACCTGTCCAAGCTCCAAAGCCAAAGCCAGTGGCTGTGCAACCAAAGTATACAGCAGAACAAAGAGCTTCAGCTGAGAAACGGAGGTCAATGGACACAAAGCAGCTTGAGGCCCGTTTGGGAAGACTTCCTCTGTTTCAGAAACGATCAGAGAATTCCTTCATTATTCCCATCCAGCCAAACAAACCTGATCGTCTTCCCAGATCGCTTCAATCAGTGAAAACCGTGAGGCTTCTGATCCCTCATCTGTACCCTTTGGAGCACAGCTCAATTGAGATTCAAGGAGTCGATAGCCCAGAGGCGAGATCTGTGGAAACCGGATTCGCCCAATGGTTCGAAAAGAACTTTCAGATGAACTTGGTCTCGCAGATCAACTATCTGGGAAGTAACATGCATAACTTTGCGAAGACCCCCCTTCCCGAGGTGGCGGAGCAAATGCAGCATGAACACATCCAAGAGGACGAGGAAGAAACTTCGCATCAGGTAGAGAACGAAATTTCGGCAGAGCCTGTCGGAGATCGAGATCGACCTCATTTACACGTTATTCCACGTCCACCCGAATGGTCGGTCCAAGAGCCGCATAGTGGTAGCGACATGACCGATGAATCCAGCTACGATGAAGATGACGAAGATGACGAGGAGGGCGAAGAGACAGACGGTGGTGCTCCTGTTCCTGTTGCTCTGGATACTCCTGGCCGGGGAGTTGCACTTTCATTCCCGTTCTTGGAGCTCTATGGAATTGAGTTGTTGGAACTGATTCACCTTGCCGTTACAATTAAGTGCGAGCGTTGCAAGGACTCTATGGATATCAAAAATGTTCCTCACCTAAAGGACGCAAAGGATACTCCCAAAGTCGAGTCTTGCAAGAAGTGTTCTAATTCTATGAGCATTGGTAGGTGATATGTTGGAATCCATTTCTTTGGTGACAGAGCTAACAAACATACCAGGTTTCCGGCGACAGTTGATGCATTCCCATGCCAATAGGGCTGGGTATCTGGATCTAGAGGGTTGCACGATTGTGGACCTACTTCCAAGGTCGGTCTTTCATCCCGCTCGTTGACTTGCATTGATGGAGAAATAATACTAACTTGAAGAAGTAACTTCCTTCCCACTTGTGCCGAGTGCTCTACGGAATACCATGCTCCTGGCATCTCTGCTGTACGTGCGGAAAGTGCTATGGCTATATGTCGTCACTGCCATCGCAAGATGGTCTTCAAGATTCCCGAGGTCAAGTTTCTGCTCGTGTCGAGTGCCGCAGGTAAGCGCATGCTTCAAACAGAAAGGCCTCTGGAGAATTTCAACTAATGAAATGCAGTTTCTTCACGTTCTGGCCTTGCTCTCAAGAAGAAGGTGAGTAAATATGCCGCCTATTCTTTTGTCAATACTAATAATTCAATAGCCCAAGGAAGTACTCGGTATTGTTGCTGGACAGGAACTACCTCGACGAGGCCGCTGCCAGCACTATGGCAAGAGTTATCGTTGGTTCCGGTAAGTAGATAAAAGGTCTTGTTTCTCTCTTTCTACCTTTGCTCATCCTCAACAGATTCAGTTGCTGCTCCAAAGTTTTCCGGTGTGACAAGTAAGGCCACATGTCATCCTACTCTACACTCATGGAACACATACTCACAAAGCCTAGGTGTCACGATGCGGAAACAGATCATCCAAATGAACACGCAAATCGCATGATTTGGTATGTCATTCCGCCTGCGAAATCTCTCAATCGATCGCTAACACAGATAAGTGGCTTCTGCTCCCGGGAGCAAATATACAGGCCAGAGAATTGCGGAATCTGCCGAGCAACCCTCATTGGAAAGGCGGGCAGTGGATTCTGGGAAGGTGGAAAAGGAACGAGGAATCGCGCACTTATGAGTCGCAAAGACCCTCGAAAGTACAAACGCCGCGGCGCAAATGCTCCAGGCGGATCGAGCTCGAAGAAGAAATAGCCTGAGACTTTGGTTGATTTCATCATGAAAGGTTCAGCGAAGAGTTCTTTAAGTTGCATATTGCATAGGTTTTGCATTTAAAAAATCGCATCTATGGTGTCTTGAACTGGAGTAATCACAGTGGAATCTATGTTGATACTATATACCCAAAGAAATTCATGAAATTCATGTCAACAGCAAAAAGCCGGAAATATCTAGTAGTAAAGATCGCTCAAAGCGCTAGACAGATTTCTCCAAATGATAGCGCCGGTATCTCTTCAAGTTGGAAATCGACTTGCAAATCGACAGGCTGCGAAAAATAATCGCTAGACAGTGGGGAACTTGAATCAATCAGATCATCTAGAGGGTATTGATCATCCGAACTTGACGCATATTCTGGGGTTCGAACCATCGGCTCTATTAGCCCCTCCATGGCAGCCCATTCTCTATTCGCGACTCCTGAAAAATAGAAGGCCAACCCTAAACCAAGGGCCCCAGCTGTCTCCAGAACACGATGACACCAGAGGAATTTCTCCCGATTCAGCCTTTGAATATAGGTTCTAAAGACATTGCCGATAGTCCCAAAGACAATATGCGTGCCCCATATCCGATGCATCGGCTGCATGCAGTAGGGAATGGCCCGACAGACCTGGTCGGTATAATGGCTCGCCATAACGAACGACTCATAGTTTGACGGGTCGGTGGGGAAATTGTCAGAAGGGAAGATTGCGCGATTGGCAGATACAACCATCATCTGTGCCCTGTAGACAAGCGTATGGGCGAAGTTCATGGCTGTCCAGTAAAGGATATGAATCCTGGCATTGTCCAATGAAACGAATCGGTAGATTGACCCGAAGGGGTTGTCGTCGAGTAGCATCTTGTTGAATAATCTCGTGTCTTTTATTTCGCAGACTATCGGAGGACCTCCGATTTGTGCTTCCTTCTCGGCGTACCAAGATGTTATTCGGTCTCGATATTCCATTATGGTTTGGAGTGACGCAAAACAGGCCTTTGGGCTGATTTTTGGGTCATCGAGGGGTAATGTGTTCATTTCTTCGATCGCATCGAGGAGAGATCGACCTGTGACGAAGATATCGAATAAATCGTCTAGAGGTGTCTGAGGGCATGGGTTTATGAGGTGGCTATTATCATCTCCGGGCCCCCTGACTGCCAAAATACCATAGATCTGCACTTGTCAGTGAATATTTTGTGAAGCCAAAGGGAAGGGGTATGCATACTATTGATAGTTTTGCATGGCTACTGGATACAGCGTTCATTAGAGGATTGGTGCTTAGTTTGTGCTGATTTTCCTTAAGTAGGTTGCTCATTGCCTGCATGTGAAAAACCCAGGGGTCGAAGCCGTTCGCACAGCCGTGAACACCGCTTGGGCCTGTGCTCTTTTTGACCGTTATGCATTTCTAGTCGAAGGAAACTGTGAGTACAATGTAGTGTATATACCAACTATGGGGCGCAATGTTCTATCCCTGGAATGAGGGTGGAACGTCGCCCTGGGCATAATCACTTACCTCAATCATCTGGAAGATAACGGTGGCATAAAGGGATTCTTCACTGTGAGTCTTCGTACAAAGCATCTTTGACATAGACCGCATCGAAGAATTATAAAGTTGAATGCCGTGATGAGATAGACGTTCGTCATCATTGATTCGACCAATATACACGCAGCAAATTGCTGAAAGTGCTCGCTGGAGCATCATAGTCTTGTGCGGTAATACTTGGAAGCTCGAGATGAGATATCGCCAAGAGTCCACATGAGTGTCTCCATCCATGCAAGCAGGGAAGTAAGCACCCATGAACGTGGCGAAAAGCTGTTCCCGTATCTCTGGGACGGAGTTGATGTCGTCGAGACTCTTGGGCGTCGCCGTTCTTGTGCGGCCGACATTTTGTACTTGCATTGTCTTTTGGTCATAACTGATGAAAATGCGGTTTGCAGAGTACCCGCCGCATTCAATTCCTCGCTTCATGCATTGTATGCAGGCGGGTATTTGAAGGCCACACTAGTTATACGAGAAAAAGAAACCAGTCAGCCCTACCAGGTACGCTGCCAAGCAATAGTAATGTGCGAACCTTAATCTTGCGTTTTCTGCAGGTCAAGCATCCTTTAGATGAATACGGAATTCCTCCCATGATGGATTGTTGTCCTTTTTGTTTCGAAGGAGCTGGGGTCTTGAGGCGATGAGGCTTTAGAGAGAAATATTATGATGTGCAACGGATGCTTCTCTGCCCCTATCTTTAAATAATTTCCCTCTGAGGCTCGCGGGGAAACTAAATTCTTCAGCCCGCTTCTTTAATTCCGCCCCCACCATGCTGGTTGACGTATTGAGCAATCATTTCAAAGCATCGGTACCCAGTTGACTGGGGGTCAACAGGTCAGTCGCAATAGATCGCTAAATGCAGTAACCAAATCGAGTAATCGAGTTGTAGCGAAGAAGCTAAACCAAAAGTGATGGTAATATGCGCATAACGCGTTGTAGTGTAGAGGGGAAAGCCAATAGCAACTCCTATATGCAAGCCATGGTGGAGAATAGGAGTCCACCGAGGGTGGGGGCTGAGATTTCTGTTGACACTCAGGTGGAGCCCGGGGACTCCTTAACTACGAGTACTCAAATAGAACATACAGATAAAAAAGAATGAACAGGTACTAGCATCATAATGGTTCAAGTTAAATGAAATGAACACGCCTGAAGAATGCAATTTACGGAAGCCGCTGGTCCATGCCCCCCCTATCATTAATGCGCAAATAAGCGGAAATTTTGAAAACCAACCCCTGTACAGTCTTAAATGAGGTTTCCGCGCAGTTCTTGTTCTCGCTCAATGGCCTCGAACAATGATTTGAAGTTACCGGCCCCAAATCCTTCAAAGTTGTGTCTCTGAATGATCTCAATGAACACGGTGGGACGATCCATTAGGTGCTAAAAGGAAAGTCGGATGTTAGCGGGCGGTGCTTGTATGCATGAGGCGCTTTTTTTTGTGGATCCCACTTACCTTGGTGAATAACTGGAGGAGGTAGCCCCCCTCGTCAAAGTCAATCAGAATGTCCAAGCTTTTGATCGTCTCGAAGTCCTCCTTAAGGACTAGGCTGGACTTTTTAAGGCGTGCCTTCATGTCCGTGTAGTATGTCTCCGGAACTTTGATAAACTCCACGCCGCGGGCCTTCAGGTTTGTGATGTCACGGATGATGTCGTCCGTCATTAGGGCGATGTGTTGTACACCAGCCCCATTATAGAAGTCGACATACTCCTCGATCTGAGATTGCTTCTTGCCCTTGGCAGGCTCGTTGATGGGCATTTTGACAATATCATTCGGTGACGACATGACAATGCTCTTCAGGGCGGAGAATTCTCTAAAAATACATTTAGCATCCGACTTTCCTTAAACGGGCATTTTCAAGATCGACATACGTGCAGATTTGGCTGTCGTCAACGGACCAGAAACGGTGGAATCCGAGTGCTTTCTCGTAGCTGCACACATGTTAGTCCAGACCTATATTTTGGAGCGAACAGGCTAACAAAACGGGGAATCCTTACTATTCACACACTTTGTCCATCTCGTCCCAATCTTGGTTACCAACACAGTGGTCAATGCGCTTCAGTTGAACGGCCGGGAGGAACTTGGATACTGGGTCCTCGGGTCCAGTTTCCGCTCGATACCCGGGCAGGAAAACGCCTCGATACCCACCCCGTTCGATAAGAGTGTGGGTCGTCTGGCCGTAAGTCTGAATCGTCGCAACCTTGACAGAACCGTCTTTGTCCTTCAAGAGCTGGGGTGCCGAGATAGCTTTGGCGCCGTTCCGAGTTGCGGCAAGGTAAACAGCTTCAACGTCGTCAACTTCAAAGGCGACATCCTTGACTGCGTCGCCATGTTGCTCGAGATGGGCATGAATCTCACGGAGTTCCTCTTGCTCCTCGGGAGTGAAGCGGTCGAGTTGGTTTTGCGAGCGAAGTGGGGAAGTCAAGATGAAAGTGATGTTCCCGTTGCGCAGAACGTGGGAGCAAGTATGGCGGCAGCCAGTCTCGAGGCCGCGGTAAGCGACTCGCTCAAAGCCCATGCGAGTGATATAGTAGGTGGCTGCTTGCTTGGCGTTGCCAACGTACCAGTGAACGGAGTCATAGCCGCGATAGCTGGCCAGAGAGCCGGCGTCGTTTGACGCCGAAGGTGGCGGGCTATTGGAGATTGCCGAAGGGGCCATTTTGATGATATCGGAGAATAAATCGATGAATAGATTCTTCTGTCTTCGTGAAGATTTCGGTTCTAGGAATACTTCTTGGGTTTAAAGTTGCTGGAGGAAGTATTCAAATAGATACTGCTGGGATGGTTGATATGGAAGAAAGCCTGTTCGCTACCAGAAGTTGTTTTATAGGCATTAGTGATGGACCCTCGAGTAAGCGCAAGCTTTGACGGATATTCTTACTATCCCTTCGTCGCCATTCGCGCTTCCATGGCGGGTTGCCACAATAGCCGTGTGGACATCCTGCGTTTTCCTGAAATACCCGGTAACAGCCGGGCCGCGCCCGAGCTCAGCACGGAGCTCCTACAACGAGATGCAACGGCAACATCGACTTTCTCTCTTTACCTTTATCGCCTTCACTAGTTTGAGACAATCTTGACAAGCTACCAATATCTCCTCGCAAAGACATATTTCTTGCATATTCGCCTACATCCCTTCTGACCAATCCCTACGAGCATCAAACATCATCCACCATCATGACGACTGTCAGTCCAGCCCAACCATCTCTAACGTCCAACGATGCGGCCGTTCTTCAAGCACTCTTTGACGCAGAGTCATCTCCCTCGTCCGGAGTGACGATCGAATCAACGCGTCCCTCCTGGCCTGCGACTGTGAACATTTCCGACGCAGACCTCGCCTCCCTGAAGACCCAAGAAGCAGACATAATCCGCCAAGTCCAGGGCGATGACCCCAGCCAGGAAGTCGTGAAATCTGCGCTCGAAAAGATCGACACTCTTGTAAAAGAATACCCTTCCTATCCACCCGCCTACACAAACCGCGCGCAAATAATGCGTCTACTCATCGATCTCCAATACAAACAATCACACCCAGAAACCCAGACCGAGTCCCCAGATGACGCTCTCTTCACACCTGAAGCCGATTCTATGTCCTCCCAAATATTCACAGACCTCGGAAAAGCAATCAATCTCGCCACGCCCGCATCTCCAGCAGATTCTTTGTCGACAGTGCAAGCGCGACTCCTGGCCGATGCGCACACACACCGCGGGTATTTACTTCTGAAAGCCGCGCGGGTGAGGAAGAACGGGTCTATTCTATCGGAAGATGTAGTTATTCCGGAGCGTCTGCGTGCACTCAACGCGGATGAGCTCGAGGAAATGGCTAGTCGAGATTTCTTCCTTGGTGGGCGATTTGGGAATAAGGTTGCACAACAATTAGCTGTGCAGACAAATCCATATGCGAAAATGTGTGGAGCCATTGTTAAGGAAGCTATGAAGAAGGAGGTTGAAGGAGGTCAGGATTGTACTTAGTTCTAAAATTCTGGATGGTTTTGTTGATTCCTTAGATCAGGAAATCGAGTTTACTGAGTGCATACTTTGACATGAATCATGAATTGAATTAAATTGAATGTTTTTCATTGCAATCTTGTATTCCGAAAGGTCTTTTCGTTCCACCTCCAGTGTCATCAGTTCATACTCAAGATATTTACACATACACATTGCGATCTCTTTTCTGTGTCAGAACCTTATTTACTTCTTGTTTGGGTTTTTGAAGTGGCGCTTCAGAGGCGTCCAGCTATGGTCATTGTACTCTTCCTGTATCTTCTCGCAGGTCTTCAGACCCCATTCCGAGACACCGACCATCAACGAGCTACATTTCAATATTAGCAATGCTTCCTCTGGCAGTCGAACTGATATGAACGTACCTCTCAAACATAAACGCCATACTTCCATCTCCAACCTTGTTAGGCTTGAGCTCAGCATTGCTGGCTCCCTCAAAGGCAGACGAGTCTGGACCGTGAGCACTCATTACATTGTGCAAGCTGGCACCGGCAGGTCGGAAGCCACCACCAGTCTTTGCATCATAGTCACCCATAATCAGACCCATGAACTCAGACATAGTGTTACGGTGATACCACGGGGGTCGGAAAGTGTTCTCTTGGACTAGCCAACGAGGTGGGAAGATCACAAAGTCGGCAATAGCAGTGCCGACATGGTCTGAAGGACCAGTCAAGACGGTGAAGATGGAGGGGTCAGGGTGATCAAAGGAGATCGATCCGATGGTGTTGAAACGTCCCAGGTCATACTTGTATGGGTAGTAATTTCCGTGCCAGGCGACGACGTCAAAGGGGGTGTGCTTTTGACGAGCGGAGAAGAGGGTGTTGTTGAACTTGCTGAACAACTTATACTCGGTAGGTTCTTCCTCGTCGTCAAAGTCCGCAACAGGGGCCTGGAAGTCCCGGGCATTGGCCAAGCAGTTCGACCCAATAGGACCCAGCTCAGGGAGCTCGTAGTGACCTTGGTATAGCTCGCAGATGTAGCCTCGCACCGGGCCGTCGGGGAGGGTTACACGGTATCGAACGCCGCGGGGGATGACAGCAATTTCATTTGGGCGTAGAATTATGCGACCGAGCTCAGTCTGAATATCTAGAACTCCGTGCTGAGGAACGATCAGGAAGTCTCCATCTGCGGAGTAGAAGGCCTCCTTGCCCATGTCCTTGCCAGCTGCGTAGAGCAAAATGCCCAAACCTTGCTTCATCGTAGGGTCGCCCGACCCGGCGACTAGGTGCAAGCCATGTACCCAGTCTACCTTCTCATCAAAGTCGAATGGATTCCATCGTAGCTGGTTGGGAATGTGGTGGAGCTTATGTGTCTCGGTAGTCATGCGAGTGTGGTAGGAATCGGCATCTTCAGCGTGGAACTTTTCATGGGCGGCCGCGGGAGAATACGGTAAACCCAGGTCTGCTTATTTTCATGGCGGGGTGCTGTGAATGCGGTTCCTGATAGCTTCTCTGCATACAGACCGTGAGCCACCTTTTGGGGCGAGTTCTGCCCGATGGGGAGAGCACCTTCGACGGCCTCGGTCCTGATATTTCCTTTTTTAGCTATCGCGGGCCTACTGAAATCCGCTCCAAAATCAAAACAAAAAGTAGGACTTACTCGTGATACGAGCCGAAGCCATTCTGGTAAGAGTAAGGATCAGGGTGGGAGAAGTTAGTGACGGGCATTATGGTGGAGGGGGTGAGGTGGTGGAAGTTGGGATGGATGGATGGATGGATGGATGAATGGATGATTTCATCGGGTTGAGGGTCAGCTCGTCTTTAATCAAGGAAATCGGCCGCACCTTCTCCGATCTACGCCAGAGCTGCAGGCCAGCATGAGCCGTTCTTTGGACTTGCCTGGGCAAATGAAGAAGACCGCGGTAATTCAAGCTGGCAACATCCGCGTTTATCCCCCGCCTTTTCGGATCATTCCGCACCCGCTTAACTGCGGGGAGCGCGGCTCAATTCCGCGCGAAAAGATACCCCCGGAAGCTGTCAACAAGTTAAGTTCCCCAATTACACCCCTCTTCTTCTTTTTTTGTCCTTTGCAACCTCTTGTAATAATCATTCATCATGGCTTCCTGGCTCCAGATTCCCAAGAACTCGCCCTTTTCGTTGGCCAATATTCCTTTCGGCATCATCTCTGCGGCCTCATCGCGAGTCCCGGCCATTGCCATTGGTGAATATGCGTTGAACCTGAACGCGTTTGCCTCCTCCGGGGGCTTTGCGCAATTGCCCGCAGTTCAGTCCCATTTGAGTGTCTTCAACCAGCCCACTCTCAACGCCTTCGCGGCGTTGGGTCGTCCAGTCCACCGCCAGGTCCGCGAGTACTTGCAGAACGTCTTCCGTGCCGATACCCAGTTCCCTCAGATTCTCAAGGATAATGCAGCTCTCCAGAAGTCTGCGCTGGTACCCCTCTCCGAGGTGACCAACCATGTCCCCATGCAGATCGGCGATTACACCGATTTCTACGCCGGTCTGAACCACGCCTACAACATTGGTGTGCTTTTCCGTGGCCACGATAACGCATTGCAGCCCAACTACAAGCACCTTCCGGTCGCCTATCACGGCCGTGCATCTTCGGTTGTTCCATCAGGTACCGCATTGCACCGACCCCAGGGTCAAATTCTGGCCAACCCGGCTGCGGACCCTAAGGTCCCGACTTTCTCCCCTTGCAAGAAGCTGGACATCGAACTGGAGCTGGCCTGCTTCATCAGCACACCGAATGACCTGGGCAAGCCCGTGTCGATTGATGAGGCTGAGGACCACATCTTCGGTCTGGTATTGATGAACGACTGGTCCGCCCGCGATATCCAGGCCTGGGAGTATGTCCCACTAGGCCCCTTCAACGCGAAGAACTTCGGTACCACCATTACGCCCTGGGTCGTTTTGATCGATGCTCTCGAGCCCTTCCGTGCCACTGGTCTGGAGCCGGGCAACCAAGAATCTCTTTTACCTTATCTACGCGAGAAGAAGTCCAAGAACTGCTACGAGATCCCTCTCGAGGTCGAGATTACCAACAAGGGTGGGCAACCTACCATCATCTCCAACAGCAACGCCCGCAATCTACTCTACTCCTTCCCCCAGATGGTCGCCCACCACACAGTCACCGGCTGCAACCTCAACACTGGTGATCTGCTCGGTTCAGGTACCATTTCTGGTGCCGAACCCAAGACCCAGGGTAGTTTGCTAGAACAGACAAATGGCAAGACTCCTCTAGCCCTTGCTGATGGCTCAGAGCGCATGTTCCTCGAGGATGGAGACACAGTTGTGCTGCGTGGTAAGGCTGGAACAGAGGGCAACTACGTTGGTTTCGGCGACTGTGTCGGAACCATCCTGCCTCCTTTCAAACTTTAAGTTTGCCACAAATCTAAAATTTGTATCGAGATGGATTGATGAAATTGGTATTTCTCACGCTGCATAGTATAGTCCTAGAAACTGCAATTATATGACCCGGTTATGAATCCGGAATGACCACGAATTTGATCCTTGTAACTGTGAAAAGTAGTGGCCTTGAAAATCTGGTACCATAGTAGGTACTTTGACATCTCACAAAATGACCAGTTAGCTACTCGTACGACCTCAAAGCTCTACCTAGCTGGTGCCACTACTACTGCTTCACCCGAAACTCCTCGGGAGTATCAGGCTGCGTCTTCCAATGTCCCAATCGAACCGCCTCCTCCTCTTCCAGCCTATTAATTATCCCATTCGTCACAGGGTAAGCAGTCAAATCCACCCCGACCCGCTCGGCACCCCAAGCCGCGGGTATCAAGCAAATATCCGCTTGCGTGATTTGGTCCCCAACACTGAATTTGCCAGCAGACTTAGAGACAAGAGTTTCGTAGGCGCGTAGTCCGTCTTCAATCAAATCCTTCGACCAGACTGCTCGGTCTGCGCCGAGTGGAGCCACGCGCTTCAGAATGCGCAGGTTCGTCACCGGTTGGATATCGCATCCGATGATTTGGGAGAGAGTGCGAACAAGAGCGCGGGACTCGGCATCTTCGGGAAGAAGTTTCGGTCCTTGAGGGAAGGCTTCGTCGAGGTATTCTAGTGCGGCGAGTGATTGTGTTACAGTAACTGGGTTCCCGGACTTGCCCTGGACGACTAGGGCAGGGACGGTGCCAGATGGGTTGATTGCGCGGTGAGCTTCGGAAGATTGCTCATCACGTAGGAGATTGATGAAGACTGGGTTGAAGGGGATTTTCTTTATGTGGAGGGCAATACGCAGTCGTGCGGAGCAGGAGGAGCGGAAGTATGTGTAGAGTGTGACGGTGTCAGACATGGTGGCAACTAGATTCTGAAGGGAAGAAGATGATTTGATCTCACAATTTGAGAAAAGAGAGGTTAGAATTTTGGGAGGGGGGGGGATGCTACGATCTGCTGATTAGTTAAATGGAATTGAGAGTATAGCAAATACTGCCAGTTGGTGATGGCCGTGCACAACGACCTCCGCGCGGAACGTATTCCGGGGGCTGTGGAGTCCCGTTGTTAGCCGTCTTGGTTGAAGATTGGTTGGAGGGGCATCTGACAAAGACACTTGAATGACGAAATGCCCAATAGCTAATACTGGTAGCAGCTCAGAAGTGTTGCCTCATTAACAGGACCGAATACCCACGAGGTAGGTTTATCACAGTAGCTAAAAAACCCTTCACCAGTATGAATAAAGAATGATTTCCCGGCCTCCTCGCACATCCGTTTCGTCCATTGAAGCTTTGAAAGACTCTCTGTGCCTCGGATCCCGCACGCTTCAATATGTATTGCCGCCAAGTGAGGAAATCCCTCTGCATTAGCCAATTCTACCAACTGATCCATCGCATCTACTGGGAACTCATTACCATCCGAGTCCCTGTTGATGATAAGATATAGTGTCTCCAGTGAGTGAGGGAGGACATCTGAAAATTTTCGCATGGAACGCTTGTTTTCATCAAATCCCACAAGATTGGGCAAGGGGAGACATATGGTCTTCAAAACAGAAAAATTAGCGAAGCTCCCCATCCAATCATCTTGCTCTTCTATGTAAACACTCTCATCAGGCTCGGCCCAGACAGACTCCAGTGTCGACTTGTGAAGTGAAAGTGATTCGTAGAGTCTTCGAGGTCGAAAGTTCTCCCCGCGACCCAATGTTCCGTGATGAATTAGCCGGAATGACTTCAATGCTTTGCATGCCTGAACCCAGTCTCGCATTCCGTTTCCAGCATTGGAGTTGAACAGGTCGAGATGGGTTATATTCGAGGTCTGCGGCAAGGGAACTTCTCGCCTCTGGTGAATAGAGTCGTCCGACTCGTAGTTATCCGAATCATACTCATCATCATCGCTATCGTAGTCCTCTCCCAGACAACAGCATCCGACCTTTCGCACTGATGGGAAACTGAAGAATGAAGTCATTCGGTGGGACGGAATTGAGCCCTCAGTATCATCCCACCATGTAGCATAGACTTCTTCGAGATGACGAAAAACTGGCTCTTGCCCTCTGGCAGCTTTTCGGAACATATCTAAAACGTATTTCGCATCATACGCCCAGTTGATAAGGATTTTGCGGAGATCCTTCAATTGCGGGATGAGCAAAGCCAGCCAAGGATCACAATCATCACACTTTTCGAGGTCTTTTAGCCATTTGCACTTTTCTTCATCTGAGTATCCGGTTCTTTCAGAGACAAGTTTGAGTAGATATTCACTATCCAACTCGGCTTTGTCCATATGGATGATGCCACCTCTGCCCTCCCAATCCTCCAGCCACAAGCACCGGACATAGCTAGCCAGTCTCGGGTCTTGGGTCACAGCATAAAAAAAGGTCACGACTTGTTGAGATGAATGATTCCGTCTGAAAAGAAACACCTCAGCATAGAGGTTTTGCTGTAGGACGGTGTAGAGTCGACGTGATGAGCATATCAGATGGTAGATCTCATTATTATTGAGATGCTGTGAAACCATACGAAGTATCTCTGGAGGAAGATCGTCAAGCATCATTGCGGTGATTGTTTAGAAGTCAAGCCGGCAGTAGAATCAAGGAATGTCTCTTGTTCGGGTGGTCTCGGCGTAATTCACTTGGCATAGGCAGAAGTGGGGGCCAGCCACTTCTGCCTCATATGCAATACAGGTAGTATTAGCAGTGATTGTTGCATGTGTTTGTTTTCAAGGGATCTCGACGCCACATTCAATAATCGAATTCTGGAACAATTCCCAAGGTCGTGATTCAATCGCTGAGCTGGAGATATTTATGACATAAGACTCATCTTCATTGTAGAATGGCTTGATCGTCGAATTTTATTGGCCCTCTTGAAGCTTCCTGGCCAGGCAAGCGACATAAACCGTGACGGTTGGAGTGTCGAACTTTCGGGAGAATTAAGGCAAAGCCACGTTATATACCTATTCGGAAAGTCAACTTGAACTCAAACTCCCTGAAGATGTTGTAGACCCGAGCGTTGTTAGCATCAATAGAAATACTAGTCGCCATATCCGTCCGTTAGGGATCTCTGTTTAGATAAGAAATCCATGTGCTAACATCGTCATACTGACTCAAACGATGATCTCGATTAGGTTTTCCCCACAAAGGCTGTACCGCAGACCTCTGTCCCTATTATCTGGGGTAGATGATTTTATAATTGCCGGTAAACTCTTCCCTGGAGAGAGAGTTTAGGGCACTCCAGTCATAAAAGGCCACAATTTGCCACCATATCATAATTTTTAAACCATCCAATACTTCGAGATGTTCACGGTGGCCTCAGGTAGGAGTTTGGAATCAATTATGGGTATAAATTCATGCTCTAATGGGGTATACAGTATAAAAAGATGCAGATATTCGCGCTTCCATCCTTAGGTGATATGCAATTCTTTCCACAAGACACAACTAACAGCCCTGGGCGTGTTGCCATGAGCTTTCAGCTGCGACACTGCCCATGATGAATGTTCCCAACCAGATCCCTGCCAGGATAGACATGAAATATCCAACATTCATCGTCATGACGCCGAGCATCCTAAATCAATCAGGTTAGTCTCATTGCTACCCGAACGCCACTGTAGTCTGTTTAAGGTCCAGTTCAAGAACTTACAGCAGATACGCCACACCCGCAACAACCACTTCATAGGTCGCGCGACCAGCCGCAGGGTTGATTCTCCACCTCCTCCAGCGGGATCCGACCTCCAGGAGTGTCAGGGCCAATCCAGATGGAGGTTTGGCAGTCTGGATGTCTTTTTCGTCGAGGCTGTCGAGCATAGGGTGGCCGGAATTATCGGTAAATACCCGTCCTTCCAATAGCGGTCGAATAACAAGCAGAACGCGCAATATGACGGCCAAGACAATCAAGAAAATACATGTGCCGGCGTACTGGCCCTTGCTGGTAGGGGTCCAGGTTTCAGAGAAGAGGGGGGTCTTGAATGAGGTGAAGAAGGTCATCATCATATCGGACATGCCCATCATGGAGGAACCCGAGCCCATGTCCATTGAAGACATGGAGGTTGAGGTAGACATGGTCATTCCTGTTGTAGTTGCCATCGACATTGTCGAGCTCATGTCCATATCCATGTCCATCATGATTGCGGTTGTGGACGGTGTGTGTGGAACTTCAAAAAATTCAACGCGATGAAATAGTGCCGAAGAAGGTTCGGGTCAGATATTTATTAAGATTCAAATTATTCCCGAAGGGTGGGAAGACGGAGCTCAACAACGAAAGAAGCTCCGATGAGTATATTTGAGAAGTTCAAGTTCCACGTCAAAAGGCGTTTGCCCGAATATATCAGGCGCATTGTCCTCCACAGCTCCCCAAGGTTGAGCAACCCTGGCACAGACAGACAAGCGTGTTCCGACGTGGGGCTGGCCTACCGGGTGAAACGAATCATCACGAAGAGCGCACGGATATGTGGGTTCGTCCAGGCTTCGTGGCGCGCAATTCGGCCCGCTTTGAGTAAAACCTCCAACCTCAAGAGCCTCTGCCAACCCGCGCAATTCCTCTCATCATGCCCATTTGAATGAAAACCCACACGTGGATATCTCGGGCCGCATCGCGTGGCTTCTTACTCCCCAACGTGTGTTATTTGCGTGTGAACGAATGCTATAATTTTAGCGAACACAATCAATCGGATGCTGCCGAAAGCCCTTGAGCATGGGGGTCCACTTGGTGCCACAATTCCGACGTAAACTCCCGCAAATGTGCTCACTTTTAAAGCGCGGGGCGATCTCGCCATCGCGGGTTGCGCGCTCTGATTTATTTTGAACTGGCTACTATGTGGTTTCTTTCGGTGTTACACTGATAGATCCTTTTGAGGCAATCTGGCATCTTTAGTTTCTAGACGCCATAGGTAGGTCAATAGACCAACTAGTAATATCGGATTGAAATTAGCATATTAAATAGCAGAAAAAAAAAAGAGAGAGAAAGGAATCCAGTATGAGATACCCTCATGTGCTCATACCCCCACACCGGCTAGAACACGCGCCCAGGGACTACGCCAGGCTCAGCCTTTAGTGTGAGCACATTAAGCATATGAACTGGGGCACCCAATGGGGCCATTGATAAAAGCAATTCTGGGTGGGATTCTCGATCAAGGAATCCCATCCGAGACGCAATCCAATTGTTCTCTGGTTTAGGGCTCGGGCTATTAATAATGCCTGTCATCTTGAAACCTCCATCGATCCTACTCCGTCATCCCTCTCTATACACATCTCCTCCAGAACCATCGTCGAGCTCCTACTTTGACGCAGTCCACTCGCAAAGATGGATAGCATGATGGGAATGGTTCCGTTCCTAGACCAACCGGTCATGTTGCACTCTGACCGGGATCCGGGGGAGTGCACAATGACCCCAGAACAATGTGCCTATAAATCCCAGTACTGGGTGAATTGGTACCAAGCAGACCATCGCTATTCCTTGCCGACGGTAGCTTTCTTTTTGACTGCTATTGTTCTGTTTGCGACTGGTCATTTTCTATCTGGTATCGCTCCTCAGCGACTCCAAAGAAGCGCGATTTGGTCGCGCTCCGTGTCATTTCTCCGATTCCTATCCTACAAAAGCTGGCGAGTTGCGGGCTGGAATACTCAGTCCTTGGGTGTCTTCTTGCTGGGAGGTGCTGGTCTGGTCTTTTTCCTGGGTGAGACACCAAGTTCAACGAGGAATCCTTGTCGATATATAGCTATTCTAACCATTTCCCTCGATAGCGATGACCCTCGGGCCTCATCCTTACTACTGGCCTAACACCAAGGAGATCAGCTACGGTGGCTCGCCCCCTATCGCCACAAGGACGGGCTTTATGGCCCTGGCATCTCTGCCATTTTTGATGTACGCTGCATTTTGTCCTCTCGTCGACTGATATGATGATATTGACCATCTACTAGTATTCTTGGTGCTAAAGCAAACCCCATCACTGCATTGACCGGCATCTCACACGAGAAGCTCAACATCTGGCATAACTGGGTTGCTTGGGCCATGTTTGTCCTGGCCTTGATTCACACTTTCCCATTCATCATTGTCCACGTCAAGAAGGGCGACCTTGTCATGACATGGAAGACTGGTGGTGTTTGGGTGACGGGTGTGGTAGCCCTCATTGCTCAGGCATGGCTCACATTCATGTCTGTCCCTTGGATTCGGTATGTGCCAGTGCCAACCGTCAAACTCTTCAAATTTTGCGTTTCTTTCAAATTTACTAATAAAAATATGTTTTCATAGAAACCGCTATTATGAATTTTTCAAAGGAACCCATTTCTTCATGGCAATGGTTTTCATGATCTTCTTTTTCCTCCATTGCGATTTCCGCATGTCCTCCTGGGACTACTTTATCGCCACCGCCGTCATCTACACACTCTGCTGGCTCTACTCTCAGTGCCGAACATACTTCGAGCATGGCTTCAAGCACAAGGCCCGGCTCTTCGCCGTAACCGAAAACATCTTGAAGATTACAATCGACACCAGCATGGAGTGGGCACCCGGTCAGCATATCTTCCTGCGATTTTTGACCTGTGGTGCACACGCCTTCACATCTCACCCATTCACCATCTGCTCTGTTTCTCAGAAGGGAAAGAAGAATCAACTGCAATTCTTTGTCAAATGCCGAGGCGGTATGACTGGTCGCTTGATGAGCTTGGCTCTGAAGAACCCCGATGCCCAGGTTCCGGTTCTCCTGGACGGTCCCTATGGTGGTATTCCCCAGGGGCGTCTAGTGGATTTCGAAAGAAATCTCATTATCGGTGGCGGCGCTGGGGCTGGTTTGACGCTATCTATGGTCGAAGAATTTGTTCAACTCTCCCACCTCCGACCTAAAGACGAGATGAAAGTCATCGTCGCAACCCGTGATGCTGGGATGCGTTTCTGGTATCTCCAGGCTTTGGAGGATATCGCCCACAGACATTCTAAAGACGAGACTATTCCTCGATTATCCATCCATATCCACGAGACCTTTTCAGAAGAAGTTGGTCGGGAACCTGGCACTGAAGATCTCAAATTGGAAGCTGGCGCCAAAATTCAAAGTGTGGTTTCTAAGGAATGTAGCCAGCTGACGACGGAAATGTTTGGAGTTCATTTCTTCAGCGGCAGACCTGATCTCCCGGCCATTACCCATCAAATGGCCGATCAGGAGGGCGCCTCTGTGGGTGTTGTGGTGTGTGGTCCTTCCTCCATGCATCATGATGTCTGTGAGGCAGCCTCGGCAGAACAAAGCAAAATCATGGCTAAGAAGCCTGGTTCTGCGAGGGAGCTGTGGCTTCATACGGAGAATTTCTCGTGAGTTTAATCTTTGAAAAGTGGCTTCGGGATTATCAATTCGCTAACATTTCATTTCCAGGTATTAAAATATATTTGACCGCATAACTGAATACCCCTAACTGATCTGCATTTTCCTGTATTCTTGTTAGACCACAGGGTCTAGATTTACGCATTAGCATACTATTTATACCCCCATTTGATTCGATCGCAGTATCAATTGCATCTTTGATATCTTTTTCTTTGCTTTTGACTATCAAAATGTTCATATCGGCAACAGTCAAATGTGTCAGTCGGCTCAACAAGTAAAATATTAGTAGGTCTACTCATGCTAAAGTGCAATTCGGCCTAGCATGTATCTAGTTGATGTCGAGTAGAACAGCCGAGGCATTTCCAATTCGGGAATTTAAGCTGGCAATAGTCATATCTCCAAGCTTGTTCACATTCAAGCAAATTGGGCATCATAAAATAAACTCTTATTTAATACTATTGTACAACAAAAATACAAACAGAAAGATAAATTGAAATAAAGAATGGAATGACCCTAAATACTATATCGTACTAGTATACTAGTCTTCGCCGGAGCATCTTAAAGAGCAAGCGCGGGGGCGGGCGGAAAGCGTCGGCTAATCAAGGCTGCCAGCCTACGCCAGCCATCACCCGCATCTCACCTCCAATATCCCTCTAAACAAATCCACAGTTGACACTGCGATACCCACTGAAACCCCCATTGCTAATCTCGATCTCCTGATTCATCCGTCGGTATCGGGCACGTTGCAATGGACGGGGCCAGGCCATCCCGCCCGGATCGGCCATATCAGCGCACCTACAAAGCATGCATCCCTTGCCGGGCACGCAAGGCCAAGTGCGACTTGGGAACGGGTCCAGACGGCTTACCGATCGGCCCACCATGCGCGCGATGTCGCAGAGAGATGAGAGAATGCGTCTTCCCGGAGAAACGAGCCTGGGAGAGGTCGCGTAAACGCGGTAAGTTGCAGACACCTTCAAATGCGCTTGCGCTGAACCCGCTGGCTAATCGGCTATTCACTCAGGTCATTCGTTCGATGATAATGATCAGACGGTATCGCCTGTTGGAGAGCATGGGGTCGATGGTACTTCGCCTGAGACCGTGAAGCGACAATTCACTCAAGCTCCTCAGTCGGGCCATTACCCCGATACCACAAGTCCCTTCCAGCAAGGCTGGTCCTTCCCTGGGCACCAGCAGTCCCCGCATAATAGTCATGGCTCTCAGGTGGGGGTTAGTCCAGCGCAGGGTACGGATACAATGATGCATGCAAATCATTCTCCGTCCCAGTCATACCATGATCATCGACATCGGTCGAGTTCCACGCTTGCGAACTCAATGATGCGGACAGTTGTCGCCAGCGGCAATGATGCGCTGAATATTCTTTTTGAAGCCGCAACTGCCCAAGATCAGGAGGATACTACATCTAATGAAGTGGACACGCCGCTCAGAGCTGGTTCGAAGTCAAGTGGGCCGAATGGTAAAGCGCGATCTACTCCAAGGGATTTTGAAAGCCCGAACTTTGAACCACCCCCGAAAAACGTGGGACCGGTCACCATTTCAGTTGTTGCACCGGAGACATTGAGCGTATGGGAGGCCTGTCGCTTCGTCAAGATGGGCTGGTTTACCGCTAGAGAAGCGGTTACGTTTATTGACCTGTAAGTGTTTGTGGTTGGGTATGGCAAGACACGATGTTTACTAACACCAAATAGGTTCTTCAAGAACATGTCTTGTTTGTCTCCAATATTGACGGACTTCTACTCTAATCACCGGAATCATTATTGGCTTATCTCTCGTGAGCCAGTCCTTTGCTGTACGATTCTCATGGTCTCGTCTCGTTACCACATCCTTCCTGGAGCAGGCGGCGAATCCAGGAATTTCTTCATTCATCATCGATTATGGCAACATTGTCAGCAATTAACTATGCGACTAATATTTGGACAAGAGAAATCTACAAAATCCAAAGTCAGAAGTTTAGGGACCGTGGAAGCGCTTCTCATAATGGCAGAGTGGCACCCTCGTTCGCTACATTTCCCTCCCGAGACAGACGGATGGGATGATGACTTGATTCCCAGTGCTGCAAAGTCTTCCGAAGAAACGACTTCGGAATCCACAACGGCCAATCGGTGGCTGGAGGACATGATTGAGCCATCAAGACGATCGGACCAAATGTCATGGATGCTTCTTGGATGTGCTCTTTCCCTCGCTCACGAGTTGGGCATCTTTGAGACTGAAGAATCTGATTCTCCAAGTGAAGAACAAGAGTGGAAAGAGCAAATGGCCCTCCGAAGGCAACGAGTTCAACGCCTTCTTTATGTGTATATCAACCAGCTTGCATGGCGCATCGGGTGCATGTCTCCGATCCCGCAATCTCTAAACCATGCTGTTCTTGGTGGGAGGAAACCTCGGTGGCTCAGTCAGCCAGGTAGTACCTGGTTAATCTTTATGGACTCATGGATTGAATTGACTAAGCTAGCACAGTCTGTAACGGATATGTTCTTCCCATCGGCCAAATTCGCACGCCAGCAACTGCACAGTGGCCGCTATGTTGGACTCCTGGAGCACTTCCGACCATTGCTCAACCAATGGAAAGATAAGTACCTGCAGCCTCAGGTGCTTGACAAAGCCTTCTATAATGACCTTTTCATTGAATATCATTTTGTCAGGGTATATACCCATTCGGTGGGGATGCAAGCCGTGGTCGAGCGGGTGGTGGCAGATGCCGACCCGAATAACTTTGACGAAGTGCGCCCGATGACCATCGACCCGACCGACTACGATTATATCCAAGAAGTAATCGATGGCTGCTGCCAGATCCTACAGAAGGTTGTCCACCTTGCAGAAGTGGGCGCACTACGATTCTCGCCCGTTCGCATTGTCCTTCGAATTACTAGTGCCTCGATCTTCCTGATGAAAGCACTCAGCTTAGGCACCCGACAAGCCGTCCTGCAAGAGTCACTCGAAGTGCTCGAACGGAGCATTAGTGCGTTGAAATCCAATGCGCTAGACGATGTTCATTTGAGCACCCGCTACGCCACTCTGTTGGAATTGCACGTCTCACGCCTGCGTCGCAACCTACTGGCATCATCTAAGAATCCGAAAACCAGTCGAGGTGCGACGCGACGATCATCCATGGGTCCTCCGCTGTGGCCAGAGAATGGCGGCGATCGAACAAATCATCTCAGCACGCCCGTCTCGCAAGAATTGACATCATCTGATCTCGGCTTCATCCCATCTATCAACGAGATGGCGGACGATTGGTTGTCATTGCCATTTGATCCGTCGATGGCACCATTTGGAATGAGTAACGGGGGGCAGTTCCCCATGTGTGAGGGGGGGCGCCTTAGACTTCATTTGGAACCTGCCATCGTGAGGATTGGGACTAGAAAACCGGGGAAAGTAAATAGTGGAGGCCGCCCCGCCCACACGGTCGCAAGCCCATAGATAGAGAGCCAGGGTCATTTGGAAACCCAGGAAGAAATCAAGATACCCAAATTTTCCCTACTATGGGCCAAAATAGCAATGAGCTGCAGGTCGTAAAAGAAAAAAGAACTCGAGAAGAAAAACTCTGATGGCACTGCCACGCAAGAACGGTGTAATCCCGGGAATTCCCTTGACCCCTGCAGGTGAGTACGGGCAAAGTCAAAGGTAGTCCAAGCACTGACTGGCACTGGGACTGGCTGGCACTGGCATTGGATTGGTTTGGGAGTGACTTTCGGGCGATCTCGCCGGGTGGCGCGGCATTGGGAGGTCACGTGCAGTCACGCGCCCCGGCGAAAAAGTCGTCCTTATCGATTCTCCAACCTTCAAATCCACCTGGTTCACCTCCGAAGCTCTCGCCCTTCACATCCACTCTTCTATCCCCCTCGACCCTTCCGACCTTCCCTTCGGTTTTACACACACATTATGGATCACTCCAGAGATCCCTGCCCCTGGGTCGCCCTGAGCGATTTTGGTGGTGCTTTCTGCATGGGTGTACGTCTCCTTTCGACCCCGACCCTTACCCGTCGAGAATACCTTCATTTCATTGGACATTTTATCTAATTCTGTTTCTATTCAGGCCATCGGTGGTGCTGTCTGGCACGGTGTCAAGGGTTTCCGCAACAGCCCCTACGGTGAGCGCCGGATAGGTGCTCTCACTGCCATCAAGGCGCGTGCGCCCGTTCTCGGTGGTAACTTCGGTGTCTGGGTATGTCAAACATCTAACTCTTCATCCATCAAGCTTCCCTTTCTAACTGTCTCCTTGTAGGGTGGTTTGTTCTCGACCTACGACTGTGCTATCAAGGGTATTCGCAAGAAGGAGGATCCCTGGAACGCCATTATCGCTGGTTTCTTCACTGGTGGCTCTCTGGCCGTCCGTGGTGGTGTCAAGGCTGCCCGTAACTCCGCCATCATGTGCGCCGTCTTCCTGGCTGTCATTGAGGGTGTCGGTATTGGTTTCCAGAGAATGATGGCCGATAACACAAAGCTGGAGGTACGATTGTCCTCTTGCCAAAGCGCGAACATCATCATTTGAGAACATCCAACTAACTCGATTCCGAATCTAGCTTCCTCCCCCCCTCCTTCTGAGCAGAAGGCTCTTGCTTAAATCTCCCTTTCCCGACGACGACGCTCACGCGATCGACTCCATTTTCTCCGGTGGCCGAAAAAAAAAACCCACCTTCTCCTCCTGTTCTCATAACACAACACAACACAACACATCAGCACATCCCCATATTGAGTCTCTCTTCTCAGGTGTTTGGTCTGGGTCATCATTCTTAAACGACACGGCATAGAGGTTCTTGTTTTGCTATACGCTTTCCTATTTTTTTTTGATACCGCCGGTCTGTTTTACTTTTCGGAGCATTGTATTTTTGTGGACGGCGGGCTCGATCTATGGCTGGTTTCCGAGACCGGCGCATGCTTCTTTTCGTTCAGGGCTTACGAGGCCCCTCAAAAGAATTTTCTCTGCTCATGCTGCAAAAAAGCGTTCGGAAGGGGACGTGGTGGATTCTTGTACATTAAGGCATTTGCTAACTAAAGGCATAATACGCATATTTTCTGACATATATTTCTGGCTCGGCTATTTCACTCATAAGTATAAAATTTAAGCACATCTACAAGGGAAATGAGGCCGTGAGGAGGTCCACGCGACGATATTGGGATGGGGTTGAACTGTTCTCAATCCTCGGAACTCCGCCATCGCCATTTCCCCGCATCCAGGTCGAATACCACCTCACACTTCCAGGTTCCCCCCTTCCAACGCAGGCCAGCCCCGTCAAATTCGCTATTCGAGTCATGGCCAGTCCCCCGGCAACCTTCAAGCCAGCATTAATTCTACATGGAGGCGCAGGTGTTTACCAGCGCTCCAAGCTACCCCCAGAACTTTACAACGCTTACCACGCCTCGCTACAATCCTATCTGCGCTCAACCCATGAATTGCTCAAGGATGGTGCCAGCGCCCTAGATGCAGCCGTACATGCGGTTTCTCTAATGGAGGACGACGAGCTTTTCAACTGTGGCCGTGGCGCTGTCTTTACTACAGCGGGCACTATTGAAATGGAAGCTTCGGTCATGGTAACCTCTGTCCGAGATGACGACCAATGCTCAGGCACAATGAAACGCGGAGCCGGTGTGATGGGCGTCAGGAATGTTCGCCATCCCATCCGCCTTGCACGCGAGTCGCTTCTACGCACAGGGTATAGCGTTGACGGCCAACCCATACGGGATGGAGGTAGTATGCATTCGCAACTTGCGGGGCCACACGTAGAGACATTGGCCCGTGACTGGAGACTTGAGTTCAAGCCTGATGAGTGGTTCTGGACGCAGCGACGTTGGGACGAGCATCGACGTGGATTGGAGGGGTTGGAGCAGCCGATCAATTTAAGTCAGGGCACTGTGGGGTGTGTTTGTCTTGATCAGTGGGGGAATTTGGCCGTTGCGACGAGTACCGGGGGTTTGACGAATAAACTACCAGGTCGAATTGGGGATACGCCGACTCTGGGTGCTGGTTTCTGGGCGGAATCTTGGGATGAGGTGGTTGATGAAGCTCTTGATACTACTTCATCCGGTTCCTCGCTTACGGGTATCTTTGAAGAAGCGAGAAGCTGGTTAGGTGACTGTCTCCCTTCATCTCTTCGCGGGGTGACCCCATCAACCATGTATAACACACCGCATCGACTCGGCCCGGGCTCTGAGAAGCAGTCACTACTTCACCAAATGTCATCTCAGCCCCGGACAAGGAAGCGAGCAATAGCTGTATCTGGCACAGGCAATGGGGATTCGTTCTTACGCGTAGCGGCTGCGCGCACAACGGCCGCGATGCTACGCTTCTCAACCCCAGGTCGATTTCCAGATTCGCTCGCCAATGCTGTTTCTGCGGTTGCGGGGCCTAGTGGAGAGCTCCAGCGCTCGGCTGGTCCACGCTGGGAAATTTCCGGGGAAGGAGAAGGGGGTATTATCGGTATTGAGGCAGATCTAACTGCTGGAGGTGGTGATGGACTACTACGACGTGGAAAGGTCGTATTTGATTTCAATTGCACTGGAATGTGGCGTGCATATATTGAAGAAGATGCTTCTGGGAGAGAAGTTGAGAAGATCATGGTGTTCCGAGATGAATACTACTAGTGGTACTCTTTAGATAAACTTGGAAGAACGGAGTTTCAAATATACTTGAATTTCAAGTTGAATTTATGGATTCTACTATTCCCCAAATGCTCAAGTCGAATTTGGACTTGAACTTGCATTTTTCTAGTCGAAGCTGTGTGAACTTCTACATCATCACCGACACCCGTATGTGTTTATACCTAATTCTTATCCGAAGCCCTGCGGCAGTGCAACCGTGTAAAAATCATGAGATCTGTTCGTAATCACTAGGCATATTAAGCTGTGAACCTTAGAATTACTGTTGCAATTCATAGCTCCAGCAGGGGCTGTCACCCAGGTGCCAGCCTGTCCCAAGTTGTGCCCCAGTTGGCAGTCCGCTGGCAACCTCGTAAACTTGCGCCCACTCGAATTTTTGCTGTGCATAGGAATACAAAATCGTCACTTTCCCACCAGCTGCTTTTTGGCCCCATTTAGGATCGTCCTATTCCTTTCAACTAGGAATAGCGCGACAATGGGGGCTGGGGCTCAACAATCGCTCGCCCCGCGTCGTCTTGATCTTTCTTCCTCATATCGCCCCGCCGAGAATGAATAGCTCTAGCTTACTCGATACTTTGCCAACCGAAATCCTCCTCTGCATTTCCAGCCATATCTCTCGGACCAGCGACCTCTTACATTTTCTATGTACGAACAGAACCCTTCATGATGTTCTCTTCTTGGAGCTTTGCAAAAGGGACATCTCAAACACCGGTGGCCAGGCCATTGTAGCCTACGCTGAAAACGGATATGAAAACGGCGTTCGATGCATGCTCGCTGCCGGGGTGGATGTGGATGTGAAGGGGCCAGAGGGCTCCAATCCGACGGCGTTAGGAGCGGCTGTGTCCGCCCACCGGCTCGGCATTGCAAAGCTCCTTCTAGACCATGGCGCGGATATACATAACACCAGTCGTTGGGAGGATCCCGCTTTGGTTGTATCCACATACTATATACCACCTCCGCGGATCGATACTTCCCTATTCGAGTTGCTGCTTGACTATAAAGCTGATGTCAACCGCTCAGGGTTTATGGGAACCCCCTTGTCTTTGGTAGCCGAAGATAGGGACGTGAAAATGATGAAGTTTTTTCTGAGCAAAGGGGCTGATCCAAATATGCCTTGCGGATACCGCAAAGGCGATGCTCAAAATCCCTCCCGTCGAAGGGTACTGGATGTGGTTGCTGAGAGAAATACACCGCTTGAGGCCCTGACTATATTATTGGAAGCTGGTGCCAAAGTGGAAGTTCAAAACCGCTTCGGGCTGTCTCCACTTCATTTGGTGATAATGGCGAAAAAACAGGCATTGATCGACAGAGGAAAAGTAGAAGCACTTCTCAGGTTTGGTGCAAATGTCAATATACCACGCGGGTTTGATCACCAGCGAGGCCAATGCTCTTGTCGCTCAGGCCATCTGAACTCTGACTCCTCGGCTCCAGTCGTTGGTCTCACTGCTCTGCATATTGCGGCTCGCTCCAAATGTGCAAATGGCACCGAAGTTATGGCGTTTCTATTGGAGAATGGAGCTGATGTGAATGCGATAGATCATCAGGGTTGCACTCCGCTTCTTTTAGCTAAAGCTGAGAAGAGTGGGGAGGAAAAGCATAGGCGCCTAGAGACGCTTTTACAACATGGAGCTGATATCAATGCCCGAGACAATACAGGCTGTTCAGTTCTCCATTACCAAGCCCACGCACTATCCAGCGAGCTTATCAAATGGTTGTGCGATCTCGGTTGTGATGTTAATTGGAAGAATGACGTTGGAGTGACGCCAATAATCAAGGCACTCGAGACACCTCATAGTCGTTCATCCGATCTCGCTAGACGCCAGGTGATGGCGGTTGAGACCTTAATTTTTCTTGGGGCAACCGTGAACCAGATCAGTTCAGAAAGTAAAAGCCCCCTCGGTCTTGCTGTCCGCCACCAAAGATCTCCAGATCTGACTCGCTTGATCCTCGAGCAGGGAGCAGATGTTCATCATCGGGACCCTGATGGAAAGACACATCTGCAATGGGTACTCCGGGTCATCGACTTTGATGAAATAGAAGATGGCTTGCAGCCAGATGATGCCGTTTTTGATCGCCGCGGCTTGGCGGACCTTCTTCTTAAATACAGTGGAGATCTGAATGACGTTGCTCCTCTTATATGTACACCTGGAGGTGAAGAGCTCTGGGGTTTGGACGAGATAATCGAATATGCGGAGAGGAAAAGTGCAGAGGAAATTTACATGTAGCTACCTGGACAAGGCCGATCCGATAATGTGATATGCTATTCGTTCAAATATTCACTATCATGATGTTAGAAAGAGACCCCAGAAGAAAGAAAAGGATTTCAAAAACAGCAGGCTATCAAGGTTGGTAGTAGTACTAGTGGTTAGAATTTTATCCAAAGCGCCAAGTCTACGCCACAAGAATTGTGAGATCTGGAAGTAATTTTCCAACATCCGTACAAGCTCTGAAGTATTACGGTACCTGACTACCAAGGAAAGTTCTAGTAAAACAGAATTTCGATTCGACAGAATAACTGGACTAGAGGAGAAGGGAGAAAAGAGAAAACAACCTCAGCTCACGCGTAGCGAGAATAAAAACTTGGGCCCTTTCCCCCTCCCTCAGCACCTGCATCAAATATATCCATGGATATATCCACTGGCAGCATCCACGGGTTCTATTTAGAATAGTAGTACTAGTAAAATAATAGAAATTTGAAAACTAGTAGCCCAACAATCACTGATCGGAAACGCTTCATGTGATTCCCTGGCCCTACCAATACAATTGACATCCTCGAATTCTAACCTTCCTTGCTAAATCAGTTCATATTGTCACAAGTCCATTCCGGGTAGGACATCTTCGTAAAGAGTTTGACAGCATCGTTACCCGACTATCCGATTCCTCAAGAGAGTTCGATGCAGAGGCACAGCTAGCGCAGACAGCATCAACCAGAAGCGAGTTTGGTCATATAAGGAGAGCTTTAGAAGTTATTGATGTTGTGCCCAAAACATTCAAGCCTATTTTATCGATACCATGGTCACAGAATCCTCGGTTCTTTGGCCGCGAGTCGGAACTTTCGAAGATATCAGATTGCATTTCTCTGGGTCCTAGTAGCCTGCAACAAAAGTGCTGTGTTTTGCACGGCATGACAGGCGTGGGGAAAAGTCAAACTACGCTGGAGTTTGCATATCGCAGCCGTCATGTTTTCCATTATATATTTTGGATTCGAGCTGAAGATGACGCTGTCATATCCCAAGAGTACAGCAAACTGATCGGCATTTTGGGAATCGCACCGGCGGATGATCCTGATGCAAAAGCGGAAAGGGTTCGACAATGGCTGTGTACAAGTAAGTCCGCGGTAGATTCTTATTCCACCCTTTGATACCTCCCGGTGCAGTATTTATGACACCAGATGACAATGAAAGACCAGAGAGCTGACAATTAGTTGCCTTGGATATAGCCCAAGGCTGGTTAATAATATTTGACAACGTCGAGAGCTCCGATTTACTCAACATGTTCTGGCCCGCCTGTGGGCACGGCTCTGTACTTGTGACCACGCAAAATAGCACCCTTGTCCACCGCGCACATGCAGAGGTGGAGCTCAAACCTTTCACAGAAGATGAAGGATCTGGCCTTCTGCTAAATTACATGAAAGAACTGGAAGAAGGGAAATACATCAGCACGGGATATGGCAAAGGCGATATCCAGACGGGTCTGTGGTCTACCCTTGCTTCTTTCTGGGCTTGCAGGTCATCTTCTTGACACGAAAGCTTCCATTTCTGAAGTTTTGCAGGACCTGGAAGAATCGTCTGATGAAGCCGACTACGTCATTAGTAGTATATCGCACGGATCTGCCACATTTTACTACGATCGACCAATCGAGATGGCATTTAACATTTCCCTGAGAAACCTTCCAAAAGCGGCAATGACCATTCTACATATAATGAGTATGCTATCTCCAGACTGTATCTTGGAGGAGATGCTCATAAATGATGTTCCACAAAATGATTCAACGTTCTTTAGTTGTCAGGACAGGGGCGGTGAGTTTATATCCTTTTGTGTGTTTATATCTTGCTCATCATGGATCATGACATTAGATTCAAAGTAATGGTACGGCGGCCTCTCGTTACTCGTCACTTGGTCCAATACCACGTCAACCAGGGCTCGGATGAAATTGCGCCTCAGTACTCTGTCCATCGCCAGCTTCAGTGGAAAATACTCAATGATCTCGATTCCAACACTAAGGCTCGCCAGCAGACTTTCGATTACACTGTTGCAATCATACATACGTCATTTCCTAGGCTCTCAGACTTCATGATCCCTATGTTCGATGAGTGGAACTCTTATCAACGATCCATCGCTCATGTTCATCGGCTTGCGCAGGTTTTTCACCGTTCATCTCAAAGCACTGTTCCACTCGAGGGCAGTATTGAATTTGCAGAGCTCTTGATCAGTGCTGGGAATTACCTTTACGAAGTGAGAATCATGAAGTCTGGTATCAGCATAGTAAAAGCCGCCACACAAGTGTGCGAAAAGCTGCTTGCGAGGTATTCATCTCCAACAATCATCGCCAACTCGCAAAATCGAAATCACAAAGCGGATATAATGCAACTTCGCGCAACCGCTCTTACTTTACTATGGGGTTTCTATTTTCGGACTGGAATTGCTTCGAGGAAAGATGCTCAAGAAGCAATTTCTGCGGTTGTTCGCCTCCGAGAGGACCATGCCAAGCTTCCTCTTTCTGAGGAAAGGCGAATCGTTAGTCAAGCCTTGTTGTCAAACGCGTAAAATGATTTATCTTGCCAGCTTATTGATATGGGAAAGTTTGAAGAGGCTGGGAAGGTCTCGGAAAAGTCGTTGGATATGAAAGACGAGATAGACCGAGAGCATCCAATACCCGCATTTGAGCGTGCAATTTCTATGCAGTGCCTTGCCTATGTTCTTCTAGCCCAGGGTAACATTGATGAGGCGGTGGATAATGAGTCGCAGAACTTTGCTTTGGGTCCTGGACCTTTGGAGATCATCAATGATGTTCGTGGAAAGGAGACCGACTTTAATCTCGACGACAATGGCTTTGCAATTATCAAAACGGACCCCCCGAATTTCGTATTTGACAAACTTATCATAGAGGAGGAATATATTCCTTTTGTGCATGATTTGCTTCAGTCGATTGACCCAGGGGCTGAAACATTTGTCTTTGACTGGAAGGTTGGTTCGACTCAAGCTCCCGTTGAAATCGCCATCATCATTATCATCTCCTTCTTCCCATGGCGCTGATACTGCGTGCTCAAGTTTCGATCCAGCGATCCCCTTCGTTCAGAAATTAAGTCTGGTACCTCGATAGATTTAAATGATCCCGTGCTATGCCTCAAGCCGGTGCTTGCAGTGCACAATGGTATTTTGACCGCCACCGTCCATTTACCAAATTGCCAATTCTCTAACAAATAAAAGACCAGAGTCCTAACGGGGCAATGAAGCGATTCAGACAATGCTTAGGGGCTCAAGTAGATGCTCAGAAGCGAAGATGGCGTATCATCGAGTGAGTTAGACTCAATTTTGAGCATCTTCCCGTCAGCCTAATCTCTTTTTTGCCCAACTAGTGTATGGAGACCAGTATCCAACCCAATCGAAGAATACCCACTGGCAGTTTGCGATGGAAGTACAATATCTGATAGTAATGTCGTTGCCGTGGATCACGTCAGAAAGCATTACATTGGAGAAAGTCTCTACTTTCTTCAGGCCGATCAATATCAATGGTATTATCTCAGTCGACAGGCACCAAATGAGGTTTTGTTGCTGAAGACTTTTGATTCTTCCGATACAGTGATGGCTAAATGTAAGAATAATCTCTATAAAATAAGAACGAAGAATATCAATGGCTGACAGTGGTATTTCCCGTGACAAAAGGTTGTCCACATACATCTTTCAGGCAATGTTCCAGCCCAGCCCCGGTCCCTGCAAAGCCCCGAGAGACCATCGAAGTTCGTGTCTTAGTCCTTTCATCTATTTAAAAGGCAGGTTGGAGGCTTCGAGAGCCAAGCCTCCACCCTCAGCAATGGGAGATACAGAGCCGTTGTCGCTCTTGATTTGTCCCCATGTGTCCTGGTCAAGGTCCACATAGCTTCCACTCAGGACAGTATGGCCCCCACAAGCAAGTTTTGCACAGGCTTCTGCTACACGTTCCACTGGATTCCTAGGGCATCCGCGAAGAATATTGATTGCCCGAATGACACCATCATGATTCATTGCATTGGCATCTATCGCATTTGACACATCAAGTATTTTGGTATCGATATTTCCAGGCTGAACGTAATAATTGCATATCCCTTGTCCCAGGGTCTCTGCTTCCAATATATGATGAAACCGTAGAAGCCCAGTTTTTGATACAGAGTATGAACTCGTGAATGGGATATTGTATATTGCATTTCGGCTGCCAATGCTTATTATTGTGCCGTACTGACGCGTCAGCATATTGGGCAAGACTTGATTGATCAAGGCGACTGGTGCTGTAAGGTTCGTCGTCATGACCTTTTGCCAGTGGTCCATATCGATTTGACATTCCAAAGCTTCAATCCGGGCAATTCCACCATTGTTAATGAGAATTTCAATGGGACCTCCCATCCACTGCTCGACTTGTTCGATCAATCTTGGAATCTCGGAAATTCGAGTTATATCGAAGGGGAATGCCTTGGCCTTAGCAGAGGTAGTCGATCTTACGTAGGAGACAACATCATCAATCTCCTCTTGAGTCCGGGAGACACAGGCGATATTACAACCCGCGCGTGCGAATTCGATTGCGACTGCACGCCCTATACCCCTTCCAGCTCCAGTTACCAAAACCTTTCGACCGCATAACGAGTGCAAATTGACGTTCTCCTTGGCTTCGTCCATCCTAGTGTCTCTAAATATTGTTGGTCAGTGACTAATATGTATGTTTTATAAGGTAGAAACGATGTTATTCTCACATGATTCCTTGTGTTTTGCTGTACAGGGATTCAAGATTTTGGATACTGGTATTTGGGACGGCGGGGATTGTGTTTAACTGAAAATGAGAATGTCTCGTACGATAGTTTCAATCCTGCAGACAGGTATAGAAATATTCCAGTTGGCTTTAGAAATAAGGCGTATTCAACTCTAGAGTTTCTTTTTCTAAATAACCGCCCGCGTCGGGAGAGGAAACCAGCGTAAAAATAAGCCTGGGTTTCTCTCGCCTTTTTGAATAATTGACGTATTTCGGTTTCTTGCCTCGAGCCTGCCGATCGCGGGATTTCCCGCGCGGAACGCGGCCAGGGCGCAGGAAAGCGTGATGGGTGTAAACCTTCAAGTTGGAAAAGGGCCCAGCAACGGAGCAAAAAGCGAGACAAACCTTGGAATGACAAAGAGGTAAATAACATCATGATGAAGGAAGTGGCTAAGCTGAGAGGGGAAGAGGAGGAAGATCAATCTAGCTACATGTATATATATCACTAACCAGCTGATTGTAAATACCGCCCCTTTGAAATTTCTCAATGAATTACCTTTAAAGTAAATATGCAGAAGTATTGCTTGTCGAGTACGTTGACTTCTCAAGAGGGAAGCTCGTACGTTGAGGTGGCAGACCCGTGAAAAGATTGCTTGCATCTTTGGTAGCAAGGTTACAGCTGAGGGGAAATGGGCAGCTCTAGGTAGCGTTGATTGCAGTTGTCGAATGGCAGAGGATGCGAATTGGACATTGGGATAGGGGCTGGCTGATGCCCGGAGCTCGGCGATCCGAATCAATAGCAAAAATGCCTCATCTGCAATGACCTGGGTGAAGGGGCGAAAAGAAGAAAGGAAGGAAAAGACCTTAAACCATGATGCTATAGTAACTTACTACCACGCGGAGAAACGGATGACGCTAAGCTAGATTCATAAAGCCAGAGGGTGGGATCTTCCTCAACAATTAATCCGATATAGTGTAAATGGGGGATCCGGTAGAACTTCCACAATATACCGTAGTCTTTTAGAGGGAAAAGCATAGTGTTTCTACACCGGCGTCTTTTCACCTAGGATAATATACCTAGGTATATAACGCTAAACCTAAGTTAGATTAGTTGAGATAGAGACTGCTTCTTATTAATCGAGCGCTAGATCCATAGAGAACGGCGCTTCTATCATAAGTGCTTATAGAGTATTTAAAAGGACCTATCCGGTATTTACCTTCCTTTATAAACTCTTAAATCTTTAAACTATTCTTTTACCCTTCTTATCTAGTCGTTTTAAGCAGTTCTAACTGTAATATATCTTCGTTTAATTAGAATCTGTTTATTAACGAACCTAACGCTAAAGTTGTTGCTAATCTTATAAAAGGAATAAAAGAGAAAGTACAGAAAGCTTGAGGATCCTTCTTAAGGTTAACTCTAGGTACTCTACTGCCAGAGAGTTATTAGCTAAAGAAGTAATAGATTTACAATAAATCTTAAGTTATCTAACTATTGAAAGATGGGAATGCTCGTAGGCTGTCTGCGTTGGCAGACGGGTCGATTGTGAAGAGATAATACCACTATACTCGCAGAGTGCAAGGAGACAATAGGTAAGTATAAAGCTATAGAGAATTAACAGTACGAACAACAGAACGAATAACAGAACAAATAACAGAACCATTTATAAGTAGTATACCGATACCGCAGCCTCAGCAGCCTCCGGGAATTATTTTATAAGGGAGAATATATATGTTGAATTAATAATCTAGAACAAACGCTATTTATCCTCCTTAAACTAAGCAGCAGCCTTGTTGCTAAGGCCCTAATATATAATATCTAATAAATATAAAGTATTTAATACCTTAGGATAGTAAACTTATACCTTAAATTACAAGCAGGAATTTTATAATTCTAGAAGTTATATAAGCTTAGTATATTTACGCTATTTACACTAAAATAGGGACCCACTGGGTTCCTATATAGGTTAAGGTTAAGACCTATCAATAGGTTATAGAATTAGATCTAAAACCTATTTTAGGCTGGGCTGGGTTGGGTTGGGTTGGGTTGGGTTATAGTTGACATAGGTTCTGGCGATGTCTAGGTGTGATAATAGGTAGTATATCAAAGGTAGCAGCCTATATCCTATCTACTGAAATCTATTATACTCAAACTGTTTAATAGGCCTCGCTGAGTTTTATTTGATATTTTTGCCCTATCCCTTCGGCCTTTAGGGCTTTAAGTACCTCGTAAGCAGATTAAATACAATATTATAAGCTTATAGTACTAGCCTACAAGTTTACATAGATATAGTTGATTTCTAGAACAGTTTCTATAACGACTAGTACGCAGAGATAATACCTTATACCCGCAGCTGCGCATATCTTCTCCAGATCGACAGTAGCCTAAGAAGAGCTAGCAGTACATTTAGATTCGATAAGATAAGTCCCCTAGATATCATCATTGTCGAAATAGGTAGCCGATAGCGAAAAGGAGAAAATCTCCAGGCATCTGACTGGCTAACATACTTACGGCCGTACCTGGGAGATATATCTTAAGGATTCTAAGCTATGCTTCGAGGTGCAAAAATAGACTTAAAAGATGTAGTAATAGCTTATAAAGACTAGATCTTAGCTACCTTAATGTAGGAAATTCAGCAATTCGGGCTCGACAAATCGAGTACTAATAGACGCATTGTGTACAAGGATCGCGAGCCGCTATTGCAGGTCTCAAAGATAGAGATAATATCCTATCGACGTCCTGGGCAGGCCTCTGTATAATGTCGCTGAGTGTGAACTTTGAAGTTTGTATTAAGAGAGCCGGTCAAAAAGTGCAAATCTCGTATTGGCCCCGCTTATTTTCAAAGGCTCGGGTTTATTACTTGATATTTAGACGGGGCAAGGTTCATTGCAAATGATGCAGACCCCCTTAATCCTGAATTTCGTATGCCAGTTAAGCAGAACTCAACAGGAACGAGCATAAACATAGACACAAAATTAGAAGCTATCTTCATTTATAGTGGTATCATGCTGTCGGCCTTTCCTAGCTACCTTCGTGGAGCCAGCTGATATTTTATCGTCGTGCCAATTATGCTATAGATCAAAAAGTCCTTTATAGCTAATTACTTTATTGAATGACCTTTCTCTTGCAGCAGGACTTGCTTGGGCAAAATGCGCCCTTTCCAAAAGAATATATTAGTCCTAATACACTAGTAGAGATTTCATAATATACTAAAATTAAAACTACGGGGTGATATGTAGTGCCGAGCTGAAAGGGTCCAAGGCGCATGCGGCTCTAATAGGAAAGAATCATCCCTCTGGTGTATATCGAGAATAAGTATCCAATGGTCCGCCTAAAGATCAAAAAGAAAAACAACATACAGATACCAGTGGCCTAGTGATGATTTCGCAACGTTACCTGCGACATAATATCCGGCACTATCAGCGAACGACTGTGCATATGTAAGAGTAAGAACTAATCTATGTCGGTTACGCTAGATTATTGAGAGAATGACCCTAACTTATTATGTTTGGAGGGAGGGGACTGACCGTGTGAAGCAACAAGCCAGCCATGCGTTTCCGAAAATTGAGAAAGATATTAAATTACTTTAAATAATCAACAAGCCGCGTAAAGCGGAGTCTCCATGTTGCTTTTCAGAACCGCGAACGCAGAACCGCTAACCCAGAATCGCTAACCCAGAATCGCCAACCCAGAATCGCCAACCCAGAACCGCTCACAACGTAAACTCGGTCATGCCTCAACCGCCACCAGTGCTTTTTCGGTAGTATACAGAATTCAAGTGCCCGCGCTAGTTCTGTTCCTTTGAGAGTGTGTTTGCTTACGAGGTGGCAAGAACTAGCGAGGTCAATAAAGAGTAGTATAGTTCAGCGTGTCCGGGCAGACCAGCGAGCCCGTGTCAGGGACGTGGTTGCTTAGGTTTTACTACTGGGCTAACTGGCCAAAATGGGACAATATTAAGCCGTGGTGGGATGGCTGCAGCCTTAGGCATCAGGCCTTAGGGCGGGTGAACTGGGACCAGGTCCTTCTGGCTGTAGACGTAGGTCTACATTGGACCTATATCTACAGCTCTCGGTCGAGCTTGGCTTTCAGTCAGCCAACTGGCGTCCAAGGTAGCTTTGCAGCCATGGCTGCCTGAGGTCTCCAGTTTACTTCCCTGCCTGTTTCCACCGTAGCCTGATTGACGGAAGCAATTTATGGGAGCTATTGGTTCCGGTCATAGAATATTGCTGTCTGCTCCCTTACTTTCTCCTTAGCAAAATTTTCTAGCCAGAGAGGATTCGAAGAGCCCATATATTGAATAATTTCCTTCCATCCTGCACGACTATTTCTTCCCTATAACAATCGGTACATATCCTCCGGGCCTGACCGAGTGACTTTAGCTGGGTCTGCGGCTGGCGGGACATTTGTCACAATACGAGGGCTGGTACATAGCCCGGCAGGCCACTGGTCAGGCAGCGCATGTCTAGTGTCGAGGAGCCGTGGTGGAAGGACTGTGGGTTTGGGAACTAGGACCCCAGTCGATAGACTGAAAACCCAGCTGGATTTAGGGCCTTATACGTACGTCCATCCGAGACTTAGGTCTGCAGTAGACCTGAAACCATAGCTTTTGGGCTACGTAAGTCTGATGTCCTAATTCCTATGTCTAGAACGGTCGCAGGACCGTGGTCTCAGGACCTGCCAACACTCAATAAAACTTGGCTATACCTGACCAGACCTCGACTAAGCATTCTCGCGCAATTTTGGAGTTCACGAAGACCTTCCAAGTTCCGATGATGGTATCGAATAATACTTCTTTAATATCGAACTCCGCGACATCGATGGGTTGCAGTCCATTGGGACCCGTTGCCAGTTGTCCACTGGCCTACAGGTTTAGTAAGCCAGGAAAGCCGATAGTTGACGGCCGATCCACCCAGCTGGCTAACTACCCCGGGATTGTTGGCCAGCTGGGTGGATCGGCCATCAACTGGCGGCTTAGGCTCACAGTCTTTTGATTTCGACTATTGTCTCCCATAGTAGGAATTCCTATCCATGTCCGCTCAGAAAAGGTTCTACAGTAAGTGCTAGTCATCTGTGTCTCGATGCCCTACCGGGCCGCTTGAACCTACACTATGATCCCACACAGTGTATTGTATACTTTCAGTAATTCCTGTGAGCTCAAAATATCACCAGGAAAGTATTTCTAGACTAGAAACCTGGCCGGGCTCCCAGTCTTTGTTTCGTTGTAGGTTAGGATACTGTTAAATATTTGCGACGGGAGAATATATCGCCTGCGATGCAGGGCTTAGGAAAGGCTTGCTTAGGTACTAAACCTTACGAACTGCCGTGAAATAAATGACGCTCCTTTTAAAAAGTCTTCCATCTAGCATATATACCCAATCCAGATATATTGTCTTGTCGGTGAAGGACCTGGTGTCTGTCAACTGGCAACTAGATCAGACCACTGGCCAGATCATCTAGCGAAAAAAAAAAAAATTACTCAAATGGCATACCTGAGTCTTTTACTGTACGCAGGTGAGTCCGGATAGACGTGGGCGACGAGGCAACAACCCTTTGTAGATCGCGCAATTAGGGCATCCACTTAGATTCCTCCGGGCTATGTTGCGACTATTTCCGACAAGGACAAGGGTCCTATTATACTTGCCTAGAAGCCAAGGCGCTATTCTAGGTTGAAAAACAAAATCAAGCCTACAGCCTGGGGCCTCCGGACTAATAGGAAACGCACGTGAGGATGGCTCGTGGAGACGATCTCCACCCCTCGAGGAGTTGAACTCGTCTCTCACCAGGCACACTTTTCTGGGGATTCTCTTTTAAACAGTCCTTTACCACCTTTGCCATAATAATTGTGTTCAGGAGAATAAAACTCGCTTCAACTTGGTGATAGGGTAAAGCTAAGCCGGAGAGACGATAGGTTCAATTTACAGGTGATGGTATGTAGGTCCACCAGATCGATCAGCGCATCAGTACATACTGCAGTAATTACTTGGTAGCAAAAGAAAAATTACTCAGAATAGTGCTGCGGCGAAACATGAACATTAGTGAGGTGCTGACTTTCACCGATGAATCCCTCCCTGTTGACAACGGGTGAACTTTATTCCGAAGAAGCTCCACACTCTACCGTTTCCACGTTGAACGAGACGCCATCAACTCAAGAAGGGGTGGGCGAGTACTATGGCTAAAAACGAGTACGAAAGTAATATATCGTTCAACAGCAATCCGCCTAGGCCCTCAGTTAAGGTTTTTTTGTAGATTTTACACCTGCTTTTGAATATTCAGGACAGGTCTTGAACGAGCGCAAATAAGGATCACTTCACAGCGGTCGCACGCTGGTGAAGTTGGAGGTCAACGAATAATTTGTGGCACTTTGACCCCCACCTTCCTTTATCGATAACCGTGGGGCATCCTGGGATCCATCCCATGGTTGACACTGCAAATGAAGCACACTCCATAACCCGACTTCAAGTATGAACAATCCGGGGGGGGAATTAATTGAGTTGACCAAATTAGGTCAAGAATCTGCTGCATGGTGTACTGAGTTTGATCATAGTTCCGAACGACCCTGAAGGGCTCTGGGGGTATACTAGTACTATCTCCTCTGTCCACCCAGCCATTAAACCACCCGTCTTTACAAGGCCCGATACTGAACACTCACTGTGTGCTGCGTGTATGTCATCCACTACTATGCTCAATTTTAATCAGAGTGGGTCCAAATACTGCACAGCCCTCCAGGGCTTCGACATGTGCGAGATTTCAGATACAAATGCATACAGATCCTGCGCCTTGGCAGTAGCGCCTCGAGATCCTGTTCTTCTTATGTGGCCCCCTCCCCACTTCCGACAGCCCCAATCCAGAATGATAGGGCCCCCTTCCCTGGGGCTAAATAAACGTAGGAGCTACTAAAGCTCTCTCGCAAGGCTTGGTCTTTTCTGAAAAAGTCTTCTACGTATTTCTCGGGTCCGACCAATACTCTATCACACTACTACCCCGACCAACACCACGACCCAATACTATGGCTGATCAAACACCCTCCATCGTCGCCAGCATGGCGATCACCCCATCTCCATTTCCTGCGAGTGGTGAATCAAAACCGAATATCACTCTGACTGTGACGTCCCATCACTCTGAACCTATTACAATCCTCACATACACCACTATCTTCAATCTAGAAGCGAGTCTCTTTCGAAGTAACTTTACTTGTCGCGATATCTCAAATCCTGACGACCCGAAACCAATGCATATCGACTACACACACGGCCCTAGACGACCTGGTTTCAATCGTGAGTCAGGTGGCCCTGATGATCAATACTTTGTCACGCTAGAACCAATGGTGCCTGTTACCTTTACTTCATTATTCTGGCTGCAAGTTACCCCGTGGCCAGAAGAAGAGGATGAGGACGGGGAAGAGGTGGAAGATATCAGAATTCCGGCATTTCTGCCGGGACACACTTACCAACTTGGAGCCAAAGATAATGTTGTCATACGAGATTGGTGGGTTGGAAGGAAAGATCAAATAATGTCACCACCGGGACAAAAAGCAAACACGAAAAAGTCCAGTGGTTCGCCCATTGCCCCTGCGATAGAAGATCTCATTTTCCACACCGTGTAACAATCAACATGGGGAGATAGTTCGCATGGGTCTTCTTGAGGATAGTATACTAGCAGAGGTTGAACATCTAGAGCCGATGAAAGCTTCAGATTCTAAGTCTCAAATGACATTATTCATTATCCCCGGTTCTGCACCGCATTGTGGAGTCACAGGTACACTAGTGTACTATGCTCCATTGGACGAGTGTACTACACTGTATTTTCTTGATAGTCGTACAATCCCTAATGAAATTTCACAGATACTAGTGCAGCAAAGATACTACTACGTATGTATTGCACCTAAATATTACGAGTACCTACATACCGGAGGGATTCTAATGGTTGAGTGGGAATACTCCATAATGTCCATTGACCTACAAGAGCTCGTTCTGTTTGGCCCCCGGGCCATCGCCCCCAGGCCGCCGCGAGCCCTGTTTGCCTGGCCCCAAGCCACTCTAAAACATTGCAGTACTCCGTACTACAGCATTAGACGAGCTACATAATAACTTGAAAGCGATTCCCATCGGATAAGTTGATGGGGCCGTCGCCTCCGTTATTTCTATAATTAATCCAACCCGCGTTACTTTTCTAGTTAAAAGTGCGAGTAGGACTGTATCGTTTTCAACTTCAAGTTGAAGTGATGCACCTTTATCTTCAAAAAGCATACTAAATACTAATACTACTAACTGAAGTAAAGTGCGACACTGTTACTAGTAAGCATAGTACTAATGCACTCTAGCCCTTCTACCAGTAGTAGGACGCTCAGATGCACTATGTGAGTCGCAGTGTCTAATACCAGTACCATACCGGGATTACTACTACTACACTAGTATAGTACAATTGTATCAGCCCCAAACCACGCCCCTTAAATAACCTGAACAGCTAGTACTACTAGCATAAGTACAACGTCCTATAAATACCCACTATATCTCGATTCAATTTGAACCGCTAAGAGAATCCTGTTAGCCCGTCACGAGAAAAAGAAATGCAGCCCATTGTGCAATCACGATGCTATTCAAGTCGATACTTCTCTTCGCCATTACGGGCTCTTCGCTCGCCTTACCCAATGGCCCTTCTTTTGGTCAAGGTCTCCAAAAACGCTCAGAACCAATTATACGAGGAGAGGATTATACCGATACTCAGAAGTCAGCCATTACGCGTGGTCACAATGAGGCTATAACATTGGCTGTGCATGCATTGTCGATGTTATCACAATCAGACCCGGATGATACGAGATTGCAGAAGTATTTCCCAGCTGGCTCAAGTTCGAGGTCGACTGTCAAACGTGAGTCATTGAATGAGATGTACCAACTACATAACTACTACTAGTAGTAGTTAGTACATGTGTCCGCGAGTATGTAAATTCACAGTGAGCAGTTCTGAAACTGACAATGTGCCGATATACTAGAGGTCTATGAGCAAATTATCGGCGACCCCGTCGACGGAGTATACAAAGGCAGCAGCAAATTGGAAAACATCAGAGTAGTTGATGACTATAACCTAGCTGGCACTGGACACTATGCATGCAGTAATCTGCGTGCTTTAGCGGTTCTGCGTGAGTATAACAACCGATTCCCAAAGATGATCGTCTGTCCTGCCGGATTCCGCCAAACTCCTCTGCTCAGTATCAGCTGCGACACTCTGGGCGAAGATGTATCCGACGCTATGGAGAGTCTCGGAGCTAGCATATTACATGAATACACGCACTACACGAAATTGATTAGCCCTCCATTGGCCGGGTCTAGTACAGATGACCAGTACGGCTGGTATAACAGCCAGGCCTTTGCTCCTTACGCCGAGTCTCTCCAGAATGCTGATAGTTATGCTTGGTTTGCTATCGAGGCTTACTTCACTATCAAGTGTCACAGAAATTTTGGGCCATGGTATGATGAGTGCTCAGATGAGTAATCTTGATAGATTGGAGGGGATGCCGAAGGGAAGGGGACAATATCTTCAACCTTGGAAGTTATTTGAGATGTCCCGTTCAGATCTGCAGTTGCTTTTCTTTTTCTTTTTCTTTTTCGGTTCTCATTTTTACTTCTCTCCCTATCTGTACACTAAATACAAGTACGGTGTCGAACACGATTTAAACCGCAAGATTTAATGGGGGAGACTTTACCCTACACTTCAAGTTGGGCCTAGGGTGCTCTAAGGGTAGGACTCAGGGGGAAAGTTTGCTTAGCTTGAAAGTTTACCTAGATATCGGGAATATAACACGGCACTCGATACTACGCATCCTTGGACAAAATGACATTCAAGTTGGAAAGCCCTGTATAGCCATTGAGCAATGTAGTAATAGCGAAGAGGGCACAGTGTCTTAGTACTAAGAGGCGACTAACCTACAACAGCAGACAAATGGATAGATAGGTATGAAGCAGTCTCAATGAGCGGCAACAGTGTAGAGACACAGCAAATAAAAGCGTATTGATACAGAAGTGTGTTAATAACATGAATGTGCTTGCTTTCGGGGGTAATTGCTGATCCTAGAGCGAGGCAGGTGTGCAATACACAGCCTCTTGTAGATCCAACGCTTAAATTTACAACCCGCAAATATATGACCTTTACGTTGATTCCTGACCAAATCTTATGGTACATTTGAGCAGGAGTTGCAAATATGCTGTAACTTTTACCGTTGCCGCACCTAGTTGGTGCCTGCAAATGATCACTACCGTCTTTCTTTTAATGATGAAAAGACCATGTACAAAGACCAATTTCCTATCTTATATTTTCAGCAATACTGTTTTTTTTTCATGCATTCCATAATTGAGATACCAATTTCTATAAGAACGGTATCCATCTCAATTCTATCAAGATGGATTACGGCCCCTAGTCACAAAGAAAACAAGGCCACAGTTCGCAATGTCCGCTGTTAAGCCCCTCTCCTCTATGAGCCCCAGGAGATCGAAGGAACAAAAAAAATGCCATCGCAAAACAACTCTGATGAAAAAGGCGTTCGAGTACAGCAAGATATGCGACGCAGATGTATGTGTAGGCATTCATTTGCGACAGCAGATGATTCGGGGTTTTGGGCTTTCATTGCCTCACAATTGGTATATTACGAGCGACGTCCTCCACAGAAGAAGTAGCTAATTTTTGAAGTGCGCCTACTACCCCAAGCCAAGTATTTTAACAATCCAAGATTTGGATAGGGCCAACAAAGAAATGGCCGTCACCTCTAAGTGATGTATTCAAGCATTTTGCGGGAGATCGCCATATTTAGAGTACACCACCGCCTTGCTTCTGGCGGTTGCGGAGGGGAGTGGAGCCGAGCAGCCACTCGCAGAAGTATATTTTGTTTGCTAAATTTCGCATTTGGGTTGTGTATTGAGGTTGGATTAGCAAACACAGATGCTGGAACATTCTTAGTGAAATAAGCCATGTACTATAGCGCTGAATCCTATATGTATAATTGAATCTAGACATCGCCAGAACCCATGTCAACCATGACCCAACCCAACCCAACCCAACCCAAAATAGGTTTTGGGTCCAATTCTATAACCTATTGATGGGTTTTGGGTTGAGACCCTTAACCCAAAACCTACATAGGGACCCAGTGGGTCCCCATTTTAGTATAAACAGGACAAATATGCCCAGTATTTAAATACGGTCTATATTAGGTTTGTTTTTAGGCCTTATATATAGGTATTTTTAGTTTTCTCTTTTAGATTATTATTATTCTATGTTAAATATATATATATATCACAGGTTATAAAGGTTAAAAATAGTATATTAAGAAATAAAATAAAATACAGAGTTCTATAGTAAAGATAGTGGTATACCCTACTAGATTATATATATATCTTTATACAAAGTCTTACTTTTTTAATACTTAATATTTAGATCCTAAATTTTAAATATAAAATAATTAGTATTAGATAAAGCTATATATAAAATATTAAGATCTAAATCCTTCTAGAAAAAAAAGATATAGAACTGGTATTCGAATACAGTACTTAAAAATTATGAAAAACTATGCCAAAATTATGCTAAAATGGGTCGAAATGGGTCGAAATGGGTTACCCATTTATAACCCACTGGGTTTTGGGTTGGGTTGGGTTCTAGCTACTATAACCAAAAATGGGTTATGGCGATGTCTATACAGGAGCAAGGGAGTGACTAAGCTCCGGAACTCGATAATTATCTTAGTTAAGTATAGGGCGAATGTGCCTGTATATACAGAGGTCAACTAGCAGGCTAATGTCACCGGTTAGGAGAAGGGGCTGTCTTATCTTAAGTGCCTATAGTCAGAGCTAAGGTAAAGAAGACGGCCGGACGAGAGAGAGCAGCGCAGGATTGCCGGCGCAAAACTGCGGAGCTAACGAGTCACGCACAGACGAAAGGGGGTGGCGGAGCTCTGGAGCTCAGTGATCCGGATCAATAGCAATAATGCCTCAGCTGCAACGACTAGGGTAGAGGGGCGAAAAAGGAAAATGTGGAAAATTAGATAGGAGGGGAAAGCCGATCCTTATATACTACCACGCACAGGAGCGCGAAGCCACCGACTACGGTAAACCAGAAGTATAATACACTAAACCGAAGTAAGCTCCACCGTACCCATCCGATATGGTGTAGTGGCTAACATCGCCGTCTCTCACACGGCAGCCGGGGGTTCGATTCCCCCTATCGGAGTTCCTTTTTCAAGTCGCATCCCGCGATTTCTTTTTACTAATCGGTTTTTGTGGACGAAAATGGGGGGATGCAGGAAAGAATAAAAGCCAGGCTCACCGCCTGGAGGGTCATTGACGCGTCCTATTGAAGTTAACAGGCTAGTTAGTTAGTTACATTGTTTATTGCAATGCTTGAGGCAGCGAGGGCATCAGGAATTCATTCAGGATCAACTCTGACAAAAGGAAAATCCCCATGTCTCAACATCAAATTCTCACGCATTGCTGAGCTGACCATCCCTCATGAATTGTTATTCTGCATACTCGCTCGCCATCCATAGTAGCATTCGTCATTTTGCATTATGAGTCAAATACCCCGTGAACAACACGAGTCTCATCAACGCACCCTCATTGCCTGTGATTCCTGTTTTCACAAAAAGGTGGGAAGCTCAAGACCTCAAGTTCCTTATGAACACCGAAGAGGACCTGATAGCCGCCAGATAAAATGTTACCGCGACAATCTTCCATGCGAATGGTGTTCACAACAGGGCCTTCAATGTACATTTAACCGAGCGCATCGCAGCAGTAGGGTCCCTTCAGTCGGTGGACGCGTGTAAGTGCATCCGAGGTGATCTTCAATGCCGAGCTTCGGAAATGAAGACTAAGAATTCCACGCGAAGGGCTGTTTTCTCTCTGCATGAACCAACTACATCTGGGGGCGAGCGCAAGATTGCGGTAAAGCCAATATTTGATCCCAGTGCTGAGATCGACACTGACAAATTAAAGGATCAGACAGGTACGCGCAGAGTGCGACCGCCGTCAGGTCAATCTCCTGCTTCTATCAATAATATCTTTGGACATGTCCCGATCAACCTTCGTGCGTCAACCGGACTTCCGTTCTTTGGTGCAGAAAGTCAGCAATGGATGGAGTCTTGTACCGGCCAGAAGATCGACTTTGATCGGTTGAACTTAGCCAGTGTCCGAACGCAAGATCAAACTGTCCATGATTTTGCATCTCTCAAGAAACATTTTCGACACCATACTCATCCTGACCTTCCAGAAAGGAGCATTGTCCGTTCCGCATTGCACAAGTTCATCTCCTCCTCTGCCCATCGCCGCTTTCCTTTTGTACACCCTGGGTTATTTCATTACACCATGGAAACAGCATATGACAATCAACTTTCGGAATTTTCGCCTGACATTCCTAGCGCCAGAGCCTGCATATTTGCCTTTATTTCCTTCAGCAGCTTTATGGTAGACGGAAACTCTCTTGGCAATAACATCGAGTCTCAAAGGTATATTCATGAAGCGCAATATCTCGCATCTGCAATTTTGGATGGCCAGGCTACTCTAGATGGAATCCAGGCACTCTTAATGGTCGTAAGTCAACCCATTTGGTTTTCATTCTTCAATTGATCCACGGACTCGACTAGTCCAGAATGCCCAGGTACGCTGTACCACCACTAATTCCGTCATGCCCTGAAAATCTCTCGCAATATGGCATTTTTTGGCTCTTTACCACAATTGCCCTCTCCCCTTCATGTTGAACTGGCGTTCCTAATACTGATGCTAGCTGGTCTAGTCAATTTGTCGATTAGGACGAATTAGCACCATGAACTCAATCGAGCCAATGTTTAATACCTCGATACGCTTTATTTTCATCCTAGGAGGTCATTTGAATTTGGCCGCTCACAGTCCACCTGCTTTGTTTCAAATACATTGCCGATCACTCTTCTGGATAGCCTACGTGATGGACAACGAACTTTGTCTAAGAACGTGTCGGCCGCCGGCAATTTGCACTGACTACTGTGACTTGACTTTTCCGAGTGCAAGAGAAATTGCCATCGAATTCTGCCTTTCTGATCTGCAGATCCCATCCATCCAGATACTTCCACACCTTTTCCCTACCGATTTGAGGCTGGCCTCGATTCAGTCGAGGATTAGCAAGGCGCTCCATTCTCCTCGAGCAGCATCGAAATCAGATGCAGAACTTTTAAAGACTATTCGCGAGCTGGATGATGCTATTGATGACTGGTACAAAAGTCTGCCACTATCATATGATATCTCCGCCTTTCCAGCTCAGGGTATCATGACCCGGGAGGAGGCCCTCGGGTGTCAAATTATGCTACATATACAGCATAAATACTGCATTGTTGCCATCCATCAGATGAGTACCGGATGCGCGGCATGGATCGCCGATCCTGGCAGCCAAGCGCTAGGCATCAAATTGAGTTTAGAGGTTGCTGCTAACGCAAGCCGTGCTCTGCTTCAGAAATTCCTCGGTGCAAAGGCCTTATTTCAACAAGGTGGATTCTGGTAAGATCTGTTATTTCCTGAACTGCTGCTTTGATTCACAGAACAAAAGACCGGTAGCTAATCATTTCAATCATCTTGTAGGTTCACGATCTTCTATGTTCTGACAAGTGTTATGAATCTGTTCTGTCAAATTTTGAAAGAACCCACAAGCCCACATACCGAAAATGATATCAGTCTACTTGGCCAGATGTCAGAACAATTCTCTTTAGCAGCGGGGGCACATGCGTTTCCCGAATTTTCCGGTGACATTTGCTCGATGAAAGATTTTGTGGCAGAATTAAGCCGTCTTGCTCGATGCGCTACACTGAAAGGAAGGGGAATGATGGCTGAGTGAAAGTTTATATTAAAAGTGTAGTGTTTAGTTCTGACTAATCGCTGGATAACGCAACGGGGTAATTTGTTGGATTATTTAATTATCTCCCTATCGAAAGACATGTTTCCTAGCATGCCTTTGTTTCTTTGATGACCAACGGATGGTCCCAAGGAATAAGGGCTTGAAACGGTTCATCCGCAAGGATATAATTCAAGACCAACGCTTTCCGCATCGCCCCGGCTCCATTCCCGGTCAGTTTCAACATCAAAGCGACAATCCATGCACGGCACATGACGTATCGAGCGAGGAAATAGTACAATCTGTTCTCCCAGGCATGCATGCGTGACATGTGTCGAGACTGATCGTAGTCTGATCGCAATGGGTCGACCCTGGCTTTTTGGTACGCGTCGAAAACCTTACACAGGGTGAGTTCATTTGGTAAGATGCCCTGGCTCGACTTCAGCATCTCATGTAGACCATTGCATAGAGCAACTACGTCTTGAACTCCATTGTTCAGCCCGCGACCAGCATTCGGAGTGAATTTGTGACACGCGTCACCTGCCAAGACAATTCGTCTCCAGCTCCAGCGGGTCAAAATACCCTCTTCCAGGTTCGCCATTCCTTGAGTCAATCGTGTGGCATATACATCCCTGACCTTGAGTGTTTCCGTAACCGGGAAGTCAGAGAACTGCGTCGCAAACATCTGCATGTCCTCCTCCGTGTAGCGCACCCGCGCTGCCTTGGTCGACTCTGCCGCCTTTGCTGAATTTTCCCTCGGGAATCGCTCATAAAGGAAGATCCAGCTTCGCTCATTTCCAGCCAGAAACATGATGGACATGTCCTTGGACTGTACCTCGGTGGCGTGGCCCGCCTCAACGCTCTCTGGCCGTGGGAAGCTGCTCCACATACATCGATATTGGGCCGGGAATGGGTCAGCAGAATCCCTCCAGACTTGCTGAGGATCCTGAGACATGGCCATATCACGCATAAGGGTCCGCGTCCTGCTGTGCACTCCATCCGCACCGACTACAATCGATCCCTGATATGTGCTCCCGTCCGTACAGTTGACACTGACGCCATCCTGGGCATTTGAAAATTCGATGGACTTGATCTTCTTGTTGAGTAGGTATCGGGATTGAGCATCAGAGGGTAACCCATCGTATAGGGCTTCAACGAGTTGTGCGCGGTGGAAGATGACCGGTGCGGTTCCGTGGCTGCAAGGCAAAGGTTAGGTATATGTACGTCCAAATTCATGAGAATCAAAACCATGGAGCTCAGTCTGTCCGGGTGCCAACTCACTTGGTTTTGAAAAGGTGCGGAACCGTCCTGCTGTCCGCAAAGCGATTCCCATCTTGCGTGAAAGATGTATTTCGTGCGAGTTCGCATCCAATTTTTGCCAGCCGTTCCGATAAGCCAAACTGATGCATCACTCGCATGCTAGGCGGACCCAGAACCAAACTGGCTCCCTGATCCAGAACAACCGAGTTGCGTGCTTCGAGGACAACGAAGTCAATTCCGGCATGGTGGAGGGCATGGGCGGCCGTGAGACCGACGGGACCGCCGCCAACGACGATCACTTTGAAGTGAGTTGATGACATTGGTAGAGTTTGACGATGGATAAGAGATGGATCTTCCGAATGTAAGTTTGGACGAACAGAAATTTCTCAGGTTGAAATTGACCTCGGAGCTTGAATGTTGAGGGAGCCCAGATTCTCGATGTTAGTACTATTTATACAGATGGCATCTATACACGCGATTGTCCGTTTTTAGCTTCAAACACGGGCCGGTGTTCTCCCAGACACGAGGCTTTCGGATCCGCTTCATTCCGTTTCGCTTAGAAAACAATTCTCCCAAGCTAGCGGATCCCGTTGTCCCTTTTGAGAGACTTTTGGAGGACATTAGTACCCTGTAGACGGACAGCATCGCCTCCTCACGTCTAGGGTAGTCCTGTTCAGGTAAGCCGCCCGCTTATTCAGCTGATCGACGAAGCTCCATTTGACAAATCATGATTGGACAACAGTGAATTGACTACCCGCACTAAGCCGTATTTAGGAAATGTTTCCGCTTAGTCAAATGCCGCAGATAATTCCTTGCTTCCTATGGTTTGAATCGCCTACCCTATGGGGGTTGACACGGTTGATTATCACTATTTCGCATGGCTTCCAATCACCCATTACCCATCTCTGGGACATGGGAAACCCCCAACGACTATGTCGAGGCTCTCCTCTCTTTCTCCACCACGTCGGTGCTCTTCATGAATTTGTGCGGTGGCGTGCACATGGTCGACTTTTTGACCCGTGAGCCCGATCTCTATACAACAATCCTGCCGGAAGATTGGAGATCCTTCTTTGAACAGCATGATTCTCAAGAAATTATTCGTCTACTTCTTAGGGAAGACATTGAGAACTTACGAGGCGCCGACGAGCCGTCCGTAGATCAAAGCAGCCGTACTTGGAATGGAGGGGCATTCCCTCCCCAGAGCCTCCTAGACTACATTTTCAATATTCGCCAACTGGCACTCCAACGAGAAATGGGCTCCTCCTCCACAGAGAGGATTGATTTACCAAAGCAAGTCGCTATGCGTATGAATCGGAAAAAAGTGCACGAGGTCGAATGCTTTTCTCAATACGTCGCATCTCTATCAGATACTGTTGATAACCGCCGAGCCGAACCAGTCTCTCATATCGTGGATTTTGGTTCTGGGCAGAATTATCTCGGAAGAACGCTGGCCAGCTCGCCTTACCACAAGCATATCATCGCGATTGAGCGCAAGCATCAGTACATCAGCGGTGCCAAGACCATGGATGTCCGAGCCAAGTTGGCAAAAGATCCAAAAGCTCGGGATCCCAAGGACAAATCATCATGCGACGAATGCAATATAAATACAGAAGCAAGTGTTTCTGGAACAAATGAGACTCCCCAACCACTGAAGATACAGGAATACCTGGTCTCAGAAGAGGTCCCTTTTGTCGAGATGCTAGGCGACATTCGGCTTGAGCCCGACGAGCAACTCGGATCTCCCGCACAGATAACACAGAACGAAAAATTGCCGAAACCCGAGGCGCATAATCGTGGTACTCTAAGTTATATCGAACATGAAATTCAAGATGGCTACTTAGAACCCATTATCGATCACGTCATTCATCCATCTCCCGACGGGGTTTCTGATCAGACATCGAAAAAAGAGAGCGATGCTAGATTGATGGTCGTCTCTATCCACTCATGTGGAAACCTCGTTCACCATGGGTTGAGATCCTTAGTTTTGAACCCTTCGATTGTGGCTGTCGCGATGATCGGTTGTTGCTACAACCTGTTGACTGAACGTCTCGGCCCAGCCAAATGCGACCTCCCTATTCTTCCATCTCTTCACCCTCGACTTGAAGAGACCGGCACAACATACGACCCGCATGGATTCCCTATGTCCAAGTACTACGAGGATTACCGAAGTCCCGGAGCAACGACCGGCATGAAACTTAACATCACGGCCCGCGCATTGGCCATGCAAGCCCCATACAATTGGGGCCATGATGACAGCGAAGTCTCCTTCACTCGTCATTTCTTCCGTGCTCTTCTTCAGCGTATTCTCGTTGATCGCAGTATTGTCCCTAAACCGGAAGATACCACTGAAGATAAAACCGATTCTATCATCATCGGAAAGCTGCCCAAGGCTGCTTTCAAGTCATTTACTGCATACATTCGCGCGGCGACCATCAAGATGAGTCGAGACCTGACATATGGCTCTCAGGTCCAGGAGCGTATTGCCACCATGACTGACGAATATATTCACCACTACGAGAGCCAGTATCTCCACGCGAGAAAACATATGAGTATTGTGTGGAGCTTAATGGCGTTCAGCTCTCAGCTGGTTGAGTCTATCATTGTCGTGGATCGGTGGCAATTCCTTCGGGAACAGGAGTCTGTTAAAGATTGCTGGGTTCAGCCAGTGTTTGACTACGGTCTAAGTCCGCGAAATTTGGCCGTCATTGGACTGAAAGAATAAAGTGCCCGGGGAGAGAGGAGATCACTTAAATCAGAAATTCGAATCAAATGTACATAGAGACGATGTCACAGGAGAAAAAAACATAAAGTCCAATTTTATACTACTCTACAAGCCGAAGATAAGAATCGAAGACACCGCTCGAGTAAGTCGCCAGGTCGAGGGCTAGACATGCCTGTCATCTGGCTTATTCCAATCCCTCCTGCTTGTGCATAACATTTCCCTTCTGCCGGATAAAGGTCATTGATAAGGCCTTTCTCTTCCAGATCCTCCAGAAGTTCAAGAACATACTCTTGGGAATTGTAGCCGGGGTATTGATTATGTACCGGCAAGTCTACCGCTGCTTGTATTATCGCATCCGCTCTCCAGAGAGGGACGTCACACATATGGATAAGCTCAACAAGTTAATCTTCATTTCGGGGGTTGAATTTTCTAATTGCAAAGAGACATCTGGGGGATGACCCCACAATGCTGATGATTGATTTTTTATCATCATTGTCTCCGTCTAGGAAAAGAGCCCAGTGCTTGTAGACTCCCACGTCATCGAAGATAGCGATATGAGAATTCCCGCTGTGTATGGCGTTTTTGAGCTGGGAGAGCCGACAGCTTCTGTCGAGTTGTCAGGGGACTTGTAGGGGAAGGGCTGGTCGCGGAGCGAGGGACAGATACCCGTGAATGGGATGAGAAGAGGTTACAGGAGACGAAGCGCAAAAATGGAAACGAACATGGACGTGGAGGTGGAAGTTGAAGTTAAAGTGGTGGGGTTCACCCGACAGCCCAACAATAACAATATGTGCCTTCCTCACCAACCAAGTGAGCTGTACTTTTCGGGTGGTTGCCTGGAACTCAGAATGACGCGAAATACCCAAGCTGGAGTAATCGAACAATTGCAACAATATTTCAAATTGAAGGAATATAATTGTAAGAATTGTTTACTGCCTATCCATAAGAACAACCAACGCCCGAGCAATAGTACTCCGATATGGGCAATATCATAGTAGCAACATAGCAATATAACAATCACGGTCACCGACTAGGGCCACCGAACCCACCCACTCAACGTTCAGGAAATGCCATTTGATAAATGAACCTCCCCTCACTGGACTTCCCATTCTTGTCCTTTATTTCCAAGAGCTCCTCCCGAAGGCTGCTATTCACTGCCTTTGTACGTTCATCAATTGAAGCAAGTCTTTTCCCCATCGGCCACGCTATCTTATTAAACTCATGTACCAATACCTCCGTCTCAAAAGGTGATCTAAACTCCAGAAGATGTCCGTCCAAGCCAAGCTGCTTCCTTCCCAACAGAGTGTAAAGTTGGTGGAGGTTAGGGATCTCCTTCTGATAAGCCATCAGAACTTCGTAGATGGATTGCAATGTGAAAACCGACATTCCATCGCATAGCTTTAACGAGGCGATGCCGTTGTCCCACCGCTGTGGAATAAAGTGGCGATAAATATGATATTCAAAGATCCTAATATACCCATTTGGCGCGAATCCGAGGCCTGCTCCACAGTAGAATGCCTGGAGACGATTGTAATGAAAAAGTGATTCCTCCAAGTCAATTTCGTAGAGCCCGAGCCAAACTTCTTTCCAAAGACCCACGATCTTATCTCTAAATTTATCACGCGGAAGAAGTAAGCTTATGCTCACTGACGACTCAAAAGAGCTTTTATCCAGAATCTGGCTTTCGCCACTGCGTGGGGAATTTCTTCCTTGTGCCGTTTCCCTTTGCATGGAACAGCGACAAGTTTAGTCTTAGCCCATGCCTTCGAAAGTAAAGAAGGCATTTTGGTTAGTTGGAATCGGATCGTTGGTACTGAAGGTGACAACAGACTGAAGAGAGTGAAAGGAACTGACAGGAAAATAAATTGCAGCTGGTTTTCGCGGACATACTTTGGGAACGTCTGCTGTCTACTTTTGGTTTAGTAGCGGTTCCCCTCGTGGCTTCTACCAAACCTTAATTGTAGGCCGAATTAGACGGCCGCTCCTACTTCGAGCCAACTTATCACCCATGAAAATCAAAAGAATTCCTAAAAGAGGAATCAATGTGCATCCATAAGTGGACTAGCCGAGCGATAAACAATTTGGAGAAGCTAGACGAAAGAATGAGAGCTGTGGAAACGCTACGCTGGGTACGCTTCATTTCCGACACCTACCGATATCTTAGTATTAAGTAGAAGGTACTGAGTTGGAAAACAAAGACGATAGCATCGATTTATGTATAGCCTTACGTAAAGAAGCAGGGGAATTGGCTTCTGTGAACTTTTAATGCTTCAATAAATTGTATCTTAGAAATTTGTGTTTAGAAGATTTTGACGTCGAAGATGAACAGGATTTTGCCAGGAAGGCCATCCCGCAAGAACACCCACAGTACGGAGTACAGCTTTCGACATCTCAAACAAACTTAGCTTGAACCAAGAGCAACCAAATACCTGATAGGCTGCATCATAACATTTGTTGGCTGGTGTCGCGGGGAGCTCGGAGATTACGGAGATCGATGACTTCATGATCGCGCGGAGCTCCCGCTGCCCGAGAACCCTGAAATCTGGGGGTATGCCGCGCAATCCACATGGTTGCACATTTCATATCGAGAACTGCAGCTCACGTAATCGGTGCTATTTTTGCTTATGCGTCACAAAACATGTGTAGTCTATCATATTGAGCCGGAGATAATCGGTCTTTAACATTTGAACGGACTTGTCGAGGTTCCGAAGCCGAGTACCGTAAACCTGCCGTGCGATGATATTTGACGTAATCACTACATTGGCAGATAGAAAAAATCGCGTTTATGTCTCCGGTGACTTCTTAGTTTGATGACAAGAGTGCGCTTACAATATCCCGATGTAAGCTGAGTGCCTTTGCCAACAGGAGGTTGGTTCACTTTGCAATACCATCGTCTTCATCCATCCGTCCGCGTGCAAAGCCAAAAGGGAACTGCAGATTTCTCTACGCCTGGCCCTAAAATGACGCGGAACGAGTCTACAGAAAATGTTAGTCCCCCGGAGGAGCAGGGAAATAATGTTTCCAGTGAGGCATCATCCGGGACCGCCAGGGCATCTCCCAAATTAGACCGACCAGCGAGTTTCGTACCGATTCAAAGCGGCAGTTCGGGAACTTCAGAGCGAAATACCCAAGGTCCACAGCTTGATGAGGCATACATCGCACGTACTCTGTCTCATCGGAAGAGCCACGCTTCTGGCCATGAAGGCGCTGAATGGGAGCAGATCGAACGATTGATCTCACGGATGTTCGGACATGAACGCAAGGCAAATTCCGAAGAAGAGAAAACAAGACACGTCGGGGTGGTATGGAAAAATCTTACAGTGAAAGGATTGGGTCTTGGAGCTGCACTTCAACCGACCGTCGGCGACATCATTCTTGGCATTCCGCGGTCCATCAAAGGCTTGCTAACACGAGGCACAAAAGGTGCTGGAGGGGGAAAGAAGGATATCAGAACAATTCTGAATGACTTCACGGTATGTTTCCAAGTTTAGACTGATAAGAAAGTTGACCCATGGTTATTGAAGGGTTGTGTTCGCCCTACCGAGATGCTTCTTGTCCTTGGCCGTCCCGGATCAGGATGTTCAACATTCTTGAAGGTAATTGGAAACCAAAGGTCCGGATATGAGAGTGTCGAGGGAGATGTGGAGTATGGAGGAACTGATTCCACGGCTATGGCGAAAAAATATCGATCGGAAGGTATGTCGCACTGGGTACCAGTGAGCTCCGCATTTTTCTGATTCAAAACCTGGCAGTTCTATACAACCCTGAGGACGATCTGCACCACGCCGCGTTGACCGTACGGGACACACTCCTCTTTGCATTGAAAACACGAACTCCAGACAAACCATCTCGAGTCCCTGGAGAAACTGAGAAGGAGTACCAAGAAACCTTCCTATCGGCGATTGCCAAGCTATTTTGGATTGAGCACGCACTGGGGACTCGTGTGGGAAATCAGCTTATACGCGGAGTATCTGGAGGGTAAGCCAAAATTCCCAGTCTAACTCAGCCGTATTTCTGATTACAATATGGAATCCAGAGAGAAGAAACGAGTGTCCATAGGAGAAGCCATGGTTACAAAGGCTAGCACTCAGTGTTGGGACAACTCGACGCGGGGCTTGGATGCCAGCACAGCATTAGAATACGTCCAGAGTTTGAGAAGCTTGACCAATACGGCAAATGTATCAACGCTGGTAGCTCTTTATCAAGCCTCTGAAAATTTATTTAACCTTTTCGACAAAGTTATACTCATCGAAGACGGAAAATGCGCCTTTTTCGGGCGCTCGGAGGATGCGAAAGGCTATTTTGAGAACCGAGGATTCGAGTGCCCACCCCGATGGACAACCCCCGACTTTTTAACTTCTGTCAGTGATCCAAATGCAAGACGCATCAAGCCTGGATGGGAGGACAGAATTCCTCGCTCTCCAGATGAGTTCCAAGCAGCCTATCGTGAGAGTGAGATCTTCAAAGCTACACAAGCCGACATTGAGGACTTTGAAAATGAGCTGCGCGACACCAAAGATGAGAGAGAAGGTGCTAGAGCACAAGTGACAACTAAGAATTACGCTGTTCCTTTTTGGAAACAAGTCATGATTCTCACACATCGACAGTTTTTGGTCATGTTTGGGGACAGGGCTGCCCTGATAGGAAAGTGGGGAATCGTCGTCTTTCAAGCTCTTATCGTCGGAAGCTTGTTTTACAATCTACCGGATTCGAGGTTAGTATTGAAGTCTGTGCTGGGCCAGTCATATTTCACAGGGGCTAACATACTGAAGCTCTGGCGTGTTCACACGCGGAGGTGTAATGTTTTTTATACTGCTGTTTAACTCTCTTCTTGCTTTGGCAGAAATCACATCTGCATTTGAGAGTCGACCCATAATGATGAAACACAAGAGTTTGTGAGTATGGCCCTTAATATTGTCTAGAAAAGGTAGTTTAACACTATCTAGCTCTTTCTATCGCCCAGCGGCATATGCCTTGGCACAGGTTGTGGTGGACGTCCCCTTGGTTTTTATCCAAGTAATCCTATTCAACCTAATTGTATACTTGTGAGCCCACTTGCTTCGAATGTGTGCAATTCTTCCGACTAAAAATACCCTAGCATGGCAAATCTTTCTCGGACAGCATCGCAATTTTTCATCAGTCTGCTGATTATTTTTATTTTGACAATGACGATGTACTCTTTCTTTCGTGCACTTGGGGCATTGTGTGCTTCACTTGATATTGGTGAGTAACTAAATCATTGACGGATACTGAAAGAGTTGAAATTCTAAGAGTACCAAGCTACTCGAATTACGGGAGTCGCGATTCAAGCATTGATCGTATATACGGGTGAGTCTTTCCCATGATACTGGATTCTCAAATGTCAAGACAGACTCGGAGAAACTGTAAAAGCTTGCCCTTCTTCAGTTGAGAGGTTTCTATGCTTGGTTACTGTCAATAAATAGCCAAGCATGACTATCCAGGCATTCCTGAGGAATCAAGCCTACCCTCCAAGTTTTGGACATCTCAGTTATATTACTTCAAATTGTTTTCGAAATCACTGACTATGGGGATCACAATCACAGGCTATCTCATACCACCTTGGAAGATGCATCCAGCAAGTTACTCCATCTATTATAAGAGATGCCTTACTCTAACCACAAGCATTTCCAGTGGCTGAAGTGGCTTATTTGGATAAACCCAGTTCAATACGCCTTCGAAGCATTGATGGCAAACGAGTTTACTGGCCTTGATGTTAGATGCGAGCCACCATATATTGTCCCTGGTGGTCCTAATACGTCCTCATCACACCAGAGTTGCGCCATACAAGGCAGCTCACCCGATAGTCTGGTTGTCAATGGATCGGAATACATCCAGACCGCCTACACATATACTCGGACTCATCTTTGGCGTAATTTCGGTATAATTATAGCCTGGTTTCTGTTTTTTGTTTCTCTGACAGTGCTTGGAACAGAGATCCAAAAGCCAAATAAAGGTGGAAGCTCCGTCACTGTTTTCAAAAGAGGTGAAATTCCTAAGTCCGTCAAAGACGCGATTGAACATAAACGACCACCTGGAGATGAAGAATCCGCCGAGAAAACACCTTCAGATCCTAGTCTTACGAGTGATGAAGGAGAAAAGAAGGTTCAGGATATCGCCAAGAACACCTCAATATTTACCTGGCAGAATGTGAATTACACTATCCCGTACAAGGGAGGAAAACGAAAGTTACTTCAAGGTGTCCATGGTTATGTAAAGCCAGGGAGGCTCACTGCATTAATGGGCGCCTCTGGCGCAGGGTATGTGATTCAGTCGTCGGAGCACTCACCGTTTCTGGTGTGCTAGTGCTAACCAGATCCCCAGAAAAACCACACTTCTCAACGCTCTGGCCCAGCGGATTAATTTTGGCGTTGTGACTGGTAGCTTCCTGGTCGATGGAAAGTAAGAATTTGCACATTTCTGATACTTCATCCAAACCAAATCTAATACCCACAGATCTCTTCCCAAGAGTTTCCAAAGAGCAACGGGATTCGCGGAGCAAATGGATATCCATGAGCCAACAGCCACTGTTCGCGAATCGTTGCGATTCTCGGCTCTGTTGCGACAGCCAAAAGAAATTCCACTCCAGGAGAAATATGATTACTGCGAGAAAGTGATCGATTTGCTGGAGATGCGCTCCATCGCTGGGGCCACAATCGGATCCACGGGCTCAGGACTGAATCAAGAGCAAAGAAAAAGACTCACAATTGCGGTAGAGCTTGCCAGTAAGCCAGAACTCCTGCTTTTCTTGGACGAGCCGACATCAGGACTCGACTCTTTGGCCGCCTTCAACATTGTTCGATTTCTACGAAGACTGGCGGATGCAGGCCAGGCTGTTCTCTGCACAATCCATCAACCTTCCGCTGTTCTCTTTGAACAATTCGACGAACTTCTTCTGTTGCAAAGTGGGGGACGGGTTGTCTACAATGGAGCCCTGGGATCCGACTCGAGAGCGCTCATTGACTATTTCGAGCGTAACGGAGGCAAACAATGCTCACCGCACGCGAATCCCGCTGAGGTATTTAATTGAAACCTTCCGCATATTCATCTCTATCTAATAAATATTTTAGTATATGCTCGAAGTCATTGGTGCCGGAAACCCAGACTATAAAGGACAGGATTGGGGTGATGTGTGGGCCAACTCGCCTGAATCCAAGCAATTATCGGACGATCTGGAGAAAGTGATCACTTCTCGTCTTAGCATGCAAGACAATGGGAAAACTAGAGATGACAGGGAATACGCCATGCCTCTCTATGTCCAGATAGTGGCCGTGACCAAACGTGCCTTTGTGGCTTACTGGAGACTCCCAGATTATATCATGGTATGATGGTGAATCCGATGTCATGAGATAGCACATACTAGTTCTACGCTAACCTTACCATCATGAAGGGGAAGGTAATGCTTCATATATTCACTGGCCTCTTCAACACTTTCACTTTCTGGCATCTGGGCAACAGCTACATCGATATGCAGTCTCGACTCTTTTCTATTTTCATGACACTCACAATCTCCCCTCCCCTTGTACAGCAACTTCAACCACGATATTTGCATTTTCGAGGTCTTTACGAATCGCGGGAGTCAAATTCCAAAATCTACTCATGGGTCGCATTTGTCGTGAGCACGATTCTGCCCGAGTTGCCGTACTCGATCGTGGCTGGTTCCATTTACTTTAATTGCTGGTATGTTTAAGAGGCATGCGATCCAATATACAGCTGACTCACTCCTACAGGTATTGGGGTACTTGGTTTCCGCGTGACTCCTTCACCTCCGGGTATACATGGATGCTCCTTATGCTCTTCGAATGCTATTACGTCGGCTTTGGTCAATTTATAGCGGCCTTTGCACCAAATGAGCTGTTTGCATCGCTACTCGTTCCGTCATTCTTTACGTTTGTCGTATCTTTCTGTGGTGTCATCGTGCCCTATGTTGCCTTGCCCCATTTTTGGCAGTCGTGGATGTACTGGCTCACTCCATTTCACTATCTCCTCGAAGGATTCCTCGGAGTCATCGCTCACAACGTTCCTGTTTCTTGCGTTGAGCGCGAAGAAGCGCGGTTCAGCCCACCACCTGGCCAGACTTGCGAGCAGTATGCAGGATCATTTGCAAAGCAGTCTGGCGGGTATGTCCAGGATGCAGGAAATGGACTCTGTTCATTTTGCCAGTATTCCACAGGTGATCAATTTGTAAGTTTCCCGGTGGAGGTGGTGCCTTCAAAATCAGGGCCATCCTGCGATCTTTCCAGCAGTATATTGACATGTGAGGGGATCTAGACGGCAAGTTTCAATGTTTTTTATTCGCATAAATGGAGAAACTACGTGAGTCAACCCTTTGTGAACAGGGTTTTCATAGAGCTAATATTCATGAAACTCAAAAGGGAGATTTTTTCAGCATTTGTGATATTCAACTTCATGCTGGTTTTTCTCTTCTCATGGCTATACCTTCATGGAGTTCGGGACCTCAAGCGCTGGCTTAGCAAACGTAAGACCGAAAAGGGAGCTGGTAGTAGTAGTTGAAAGAGCCTGGATTATGCATGTCAATTGTTTGATATCATGTATTTTTCCTGCTATTTAACGACTTAGTTGGCTATTCACCTGGGGCCATCAGGTCCTAAACAATCGATGGTTAGCACAGGAAACTATAATCAGTGGCCAATTAAAAACGGCTAAATTATAATCAGTTTCTCAATGCAAAGTTTAGATCACAAGTAGAAAATGTTGAAGTGCATAACCCTCCAACTATAACCCTTCCGAAGTCACGTTGCATCCGCGGCTATACAAGAAGTCGCTAGTCTCGTCTCGGTCTCGTGGGGGCGCTTCAGCTCTCCGCGTCAAAGCTTGGCGACTTCCCCCGATCTTCCCTCGTCACTTTCACCTACCTCCCTTCAGCTCTCACCAGCGCAGAATATCATTATATGAGGTCGACCCGTGTGATGCTTGATTAAATCAACCCCTCTAGTCTCGTTTCCCTCCCCCATCTTCCCGCCTCTCCGATCTGCGCCCCGCCTTACCCACCATGAAGGAGGAAGAAGTGCCCAGAGAAACGCCCGAGGAATCGCGCGACGACGAAAACTCTAGCTCGAAACTGGCCAATCAATCAGCCAAGGATAGGAAATGTCAATACTGCGACCAGGCCTTCACTTCTTCATCGCTGGGCCGACACCTGGATCAGTTTCTGTTCAAGAAGAAGCCTGATGGTATTCACGATGTCGAGGAGATTCGGCGCATTCGCAGTGGGATCACTCGTCGACAGGCCCGAACAGCTTCGGGTAAGCGTGATGATAGTCCCGATTCTACTCCAAAAAAGGGTCCCTTAGACACCTATGCAACCGGAGAATCGAGCAGCAAGTCGCGGGACGCACCCGTGCGCATGATGTTCAATACCCCGACCTGGCACGCAACGGGCGTCATCAACGACATACCAAACCCCAATCCTAGTCGGCCTCTCGAGGGACCTCGCGCCACGCCTTCACAATCGCGGTCGGCGTCTCTGCAGCTTCCGGATTACGCGAGTAGAGGCGCCACGGCCAACAACCCGGATACCATGAAGGCCCTGGAGCTAGCACTGCGCGAGGTGCTGGACAATATCAAGGCTGCTACGTATGCTCTCCCGCACCCTTCCCGGATTACTGAACTGACAAATTCTCTTATAGTTCTCGATTTCGCCCCCGTCTGTCCCCGTTCGACTTCGACATACAAGCCCAAACCTTCCCTGCGCTCTGCCTACATCTTCTTCCTCCTCCCCCGAGCCTGTTCAGCGCCCAGCCATTTCCCTCACAGACATCTTTCCCTCTACAGCCTCCTGGCCCAGAACATGTGGAAATTCTTCGACAAGCACTCCGGTCCAAAATTTCGCAATGGCAGTCTGACCAGATCGCCGCCGATTCCACCGGCCATCCCAGACATTTGACTGGAGGACTTGACCACAGCATGGTCTACCGAACTGCCCAGCAACATGAGGAAGTGAGCATGCGACATCTGGAGCTGGCCTTCAATCACTGGAGCAGTGTATCTTTTGAAAACCGTCGTGATGCTTGGCAGCTAGAGATCACTCGCGCATTTGCACGGGAAGCAGAGCAACGTAAGTCAGTGGACGACCAGCTTGCTCGGGTCCAGCAAGAGGCGAATCATCTCCGCGCGCAAGTGGAGCGTCTCAGGATCTTGCCAATGGCCCCGCGAATTTGCCCTCTTTCCACCGGACACACTCCCTCTCTCGCGCGACGTTGCGCGAGAGCTCGATGCGAAGGAGAGCCAGATCAGCCCAGAGTCTTCCCGATGGGATTATGACAGCGTGGTGACTAAATGGAAGCGCGTTGTCATGCACGATAAGAGTATGGGCCGGATTGGCGTGGGTTACAATGCGAATTCAGGCGGATTTGGCGAGCCGGACGGTAGCCACCACCGACAAAGTCCTGATGTTCGCCCTCCTCGTCCAGGCGAAGATACCTCTACTCATCCGAATCGCCTGCGGCCCCTACAGTCTGCTGTTGTCATGAGTCCTGACCCGGGAGCTGCGTCCACGCCTGCATCTTCTCACTACGCTTCTCCGTATTCACACAACGACCCCCGCAGCCCGCAAACTGGAAATGCTAAGCGCCCGAAGCTCATGAATGGATCCGAAGGTTTACAGGCCCAGGAGCCATTGGCACACTCCAAATCCATGGGACCTGCCCCTTGGCCTTCTTCTACGCCTATTCTTTCCAACCTAGCGGCACCATCGAGTCTGCCGCCTCTGCCATCAGGGCAAACACCCCCCCTCGGGGTCGCGAGGTTGATTCTTCTAGTCCCGTTAGCTGAAGCGCTGTCTTTTATGATTTATCTGATTGAATATTGAGGTGGAATACACCTCATCCGGTGTTGCAGGATGGGCATTCACATTGAACATTTTTTCCGTTATAGATATACGATGCACAGAAAATTGTATAGTGGCAAGGAAGTAACTGGCTTGACTTCCGCTAGGTTATTTTTCTTTTTGCGAAATAGTCCCGTGGACATTCTATTTAAAAAAATAAAGATCTGGAGTGTTGTGTTTGATATAATATGCTCTGACTTTCTGCTCAATTATTCTCGTCCTGCATCCTTTGCGATTTCCTCCCCAATATATTGCGCAAGGGTCAGCATCTTCTCCTCTTGAAGTCTACGGCCAACCAGTTGAACTCCGACAGGGGCCCCATCGTAAGAATCGGCATCATCTGCCTTGCTGTTAGCGGAGCACTTGCAAATCGGAATAAATAAAAAACACTCACAATCCCACTCTATGTGAGGCTCAGCCTCAGCCAGGGAGGTGCCAGTAGGAAGTTTGTCCACTGCCTTGTCTGCAAAGGTCACCGGGATAGAAATGCTGGTGTAGTCTAACACGTTCACAAAGGTGGTGTATCCCACATGCTCATATTGTGTGGGAATGACAGCAGCGTGAGATGCAAGCGGACAAATGAGCCCATCCACGGGTCGCCCAGTGCCAGTGAGCTCTGCAGTACTGTTCCAGTAGTCCATATACTGTTTTTTATACTCACGGCTGGATACATTTAGCGCGGCAATCTGCGATGCGATCATCTCCGTGCCGCCCTGTGAGACAATGACCTGTGGTGCTTGTACCTCTCCAGAAAGACCAAAGTGGTGATTTAGGTCTGTACCGCCGTCTAAATGGTATGCCTTGCTCTGCTAAAAGTCAGCGTTTCTATCTCTCCGCGCGATTTCTTTTGCACGACAACTATACCGCTAGTGCGTGAGCTGGCGCGTGAGAAGGAGGACTCCAATGAATAACTCTATGACCGAGTCTCTCCAAAGTTTTCTCAACAAGCTTCAATCCCCGCGCAATGGGAGGATGAATCCGACCAACACCGTCGAAAGGCATGATTGCAAAGGCAAGGCTCGAGGCCCCTGCTTTCGATTTTTCAATGGAAGAAAGAGTCTCCTGTACAATTGATTCTCTCCATGGAAGCTCCAAAGCCAGTGGATCGTGATTCCAAGGCTGCTGGCTGAGAATGCTCTTGAACAGTAGCGTCAAGGTGCGAGCAGTGGGAGCCAAAGGCCCAATGACAGACAGAACTATGTTCTGTCCATCCATGGAATTTGCAGCCCCCTGGTAGGGCATTCTACCAGCCGAAGGCCGCAACCCATATAGATTATTGAAGCCAGCAGGGACCCGTATGCTGCCTCCGATATCAGTACCAAACCCACCAGGTGATCCGCGCAGTGCAATAAGAGCACCTTCGCCGCCGGAGCTACCACCACTGGAGAGGTTTCTGTTTTTGGGATTCCAGGTATATCCGATGATATTGTTGATTGTTTCGCCGGACATCAGCGTCGCTGGAACGCTGGTCTTGCAGTATAGTACCGCGCCCAGATTACGTAGCTCCCGTACAAGTTCGCTTTCCTCCACCCCTCGGCGTGGATCATCTGGTAGGCCTTGGAATGTATTGATCCAACCCACATAGCCCATGGTAGTTTCTACCCCCTTGACGTGGAACTGGTCCTTTAAGGAGACAGGGAGACCATGGAGGGGTCCGATAGGTTCTTTGTGCTCAGCGAAGTAGGCATCAAGCCGCTTTGCATCTTCGATCGCTGCTTCGAAGAATATCTCATGGAGACAGTTAACCTGAAGATATTGGTTAGATGCATCGATATTTTCCAACTCTGCAGAGGTTTCGGAAATGGTTATATATTTACCAACTGATGCGCCAATGCAGCACGATGGCAAAAGGCCTCGGTGACTTCGAGCGCGGTCCAACCTCCAGAAGTAGTTTGCGCGACGATATCAACAGCATCTGATTCTGTGATTTCAATTTCGCGCCTGTTCAGAAACTGCTGGATATAGGCCCCGGTTACATCTTGTTGTTCAGCTGCTGAGGGGATCGGGCTTGTGATGATCCATTTCTCGGGAATGGTGTTCAGAATGGACTGTCGTTTAGCTTCGCCTTTAGCACGCCAGGTAGGCTCAGTTGCCATGTTGAGTGATAGTTGCGTACTTTCAGAGGTACGTTGTAAGCGTGTTGCAGTTGGGTTTCCAAGGTTGGGAGGTGGGTTTTATGCGAGTGTACTTCTACGATAGTGAGAGCGGGGGTCTTGGGGTTTATGGGGTCGCTTGGAGTCGGGTGTACCTTCTGGGTACTGCCAGCTACTACGGAATACTTGCCTCGGCTCTGTCCAATGACATGCAGTCCACATTAATGCTGAACATCCATGTAGCGTATTTCGAATTTTTGACATTTGGTGAAACCAATGATCTGGATCTATGGAGAAAGGTGGCTGACGGTTCTGTGAAGCCATCGGCTTACAAGAAGGGTTGCTTACCCCAAAACTACTGTTATATACACGAAAGGACCGTCCAACTAGAGGAGCGGCGATTGTTCTTCGTGCACATGCCATCTGGTGAACGCCATCAATATGTGTCCTCCTGCTTTGGAGACAAGATAACGTCCACAAAGCTCCTGTTACGAACAGACACGTTGGAGATCGTCGGGATGGCTCCGAATGAGCCAGAGCAGATCCGGATTGGAGATAAGAGTCTCGAGATTGCCTCGTGGCTCGGACGCCATCTTCATGGCTTTGGAGGATTGATCATCTGTCGTACGTTCAGATTGACCCTTTTACCAGACATCCAGCCTTTCCACATGGGAAAAGGGTCGGACGCAGCACCGGGCCCATCATCCCCTTCGGGCGAAGGCCAGTCTGCCAACCAGCTTGGACAAGTGGACGGCAATATCTTCGGGACACCATGCCAGGCAAACCGAGAAGCTCCATTCATATACACGGCATCCCCCGACCGTAGCCGAAAGACTTCGCAACCGTTTCCGTCATCGTGGCTCACCAAGAAGAGACCGTCGCAACCAAAGCTGACGCTGATCAAACCTACGTCGCAGTCCTCACTTACATCCCGATGGACGCTCAGAGTATCTCCCGCTGAGTACAAATTCAGGATCGCGGCCTGGGCCTCGGTTTGTGGAAATGCGGCCCGCAAGAGCTCAGCAATGTCTTGTGGAAAAGGCGGCGGAGCTTCCTCGGGATAAACTTTCGCAGTCCAATCATACTGGCCACCCAGAGTAACCCAGCGGAGTTTCTTGTCAAGAACATTTTGAACTGTCAAGGGTTTGTGCACTTGTAGGTCTTTGGGCTGAATCGTGCGGGTGGGATCATCTGAGAAGAAGCTTTTTGTGGTAGTAGTACGAGTATCGACATCCTCCGATCCTCCGGGGTAGGTGACGTCGTAGTGCAAGTGTAGGTTGGTCTTGTGGAGGGGGTTGGAGAGATCTCGGTGGAACAAGCGGGATAGAAGCTCGGTTTGAATGGTAGGAGGAAAAAGGGCAGGGATGATCAGAAGACCTACGAATTGGTTAGGATGAAGCTCATTCCCTGTACGGGTTAGTAGATTTGCTGACCAGAAATAGCATCATGGGTATAGACGGGAACATTCTCTGCCAAGGGAGCATGAGTATCACACTGTACTGATTGCCCCGAATGGTCGCCTTGTATGAAAGCATCGAACGCGAGGCGAAGATCCTGACTAGACATGTATTGAGAGAGAGTGAGGCCGGCAGGAAATTGCGATTGCGATTCCGATTCAGGATCTACTTTTTGAAGATCAATGATTCCTGGGTCATTGTCGACTTCAGACAGGGGGAGCCTGGTGTATTTCTTGTAGCATTGGCGAATGATATCAGGAGGGCGGTCATGGGCATCGATCCCTTTGATCTGCGCCATTGCGTGGAGAGTGAAATGGAGTGAGAGAGTGGAATCGAAGGAAGGAAGAGAGGAAGAGTTCCGGGCGGAGCGGAGCGGAGCAATCGGCAATCAGCGGGGCACGTGTTCACCACCCGCGCGTCCGCGGGGGTCAACAAACAAAAGTTTCCCCCCCACCAACACAGCCAGCACCGCCATGATCCTCTGATTTTGTGAATACCTTCAGATCGACTGACCCCTAGCGGCGTGGACAAATTCTGCTGTAAGTGCTCTCAAGTCTTCATCGTCGAGATCAGCCCGAAATTTCGTCCCATTGGACACCATTGGCCCGCATTGATCCAATGTTGCCCCTTGCATCTCCATCCCACTTGTTCCCACATCCTGCGTCACTCCCAAGCCCTCGGTTCCTGTCACGTTTCTAACTCGATCTAGAATCACTCAGAACACGAAATCGCATCCACCATGGAGAACTACCAAAAAATCGAGAAAATTGGCGAAGGTGAGGGGTTTGACGCCGTTATTTACATCCGTTGCCTGGGGCCGAAAAAAAAGAGGAAAATCTAACATATTGAGGCTGCCAGGTACCTACGGCGTTGTTTACAAAGCTCGAGAACTCAGTCATCCCAATCGCATCGTTGCCCTGAAGAAGATCCGATTAGAAGCCGAAGATGAAGGCGTCCCAAGTACCGCCATTCGCGAGATCTCGCTCCTCAAAGAGATGCATGACCCGAATATCGTCCAATTGTTCAATATCGTTCACGCCGACGGTCACAAGCTCTACCTTGTTTTTGAATACTTGGATCTCGACCTAAAGAAGTATATGGAGGCTCTACCAGTCAGTGAAGGTGGCCGGGGCAAGGCCTTGCCCGATGGATCGACAATGGCCGCAAGCCTGGGTCTCGGCGAGGATATGGTCAAGAAGTTCATGGCACAATTGGTCGAGGGTGTCCGCTATTGCCACAGTCATCGCATTCTTCACCGTGACCTGAAGCCTCAGAACCTGCTTATCGATCGCGACGGTAACTTGAAACTGGCCGATTTTGGTTTGGCCCGAGCCTTTGGTGTTCCACTCCGTACTTATACCCACGAGGTAAGCAATTGAGAGCAACAGGCTAATAGCAGATGACATTTTTATGCTAATATTATGGATAAGGTTGTCACATTGTGGTACCGCTCTCCAGAGATTCTGCTCGGTGGTCGCCAATACTCTACCGGCGTTGATATGTGGTCCGTTGGAGCCATCTTCGCGGAGATGTGCACACGCAAGCCGCTTTTCCCTGGTGACTCGGAGATTGACGAGATCTTTAAAATCTTCCGGTGGGTTTCAGATTGTTATCTTTGGGGATTATGTTGTTCCGTCTCACTAATCTTCGATCTGTCACAGCGTACTCGGTACCCCCGACGAAGAGGCATGGCCCGGCGTCACCTCGTTCCCCGATTACAAAGCTACTTTCCCCAAGTGGACTCGCCCCGATACAGCTCTGGTTCCTGGCCTAGAGGAAGCTGGCGCCGATCTCCTAGAAGCCCTGCTTGAGTTCGACCCAGCCCATCGACTCTCAGCGAAACAAGCCTGCCAACATCCGTATTTCAGCCAGGGCAGCGCACACTACTCGACCCGTACCACGCGCATCGGCTATCAATGAGCTGAACTCGGCGCCAATATTTTATGTTTGTAACCTTATTGACGGCGGATGATCACAGGAAATGTTGGATCTCCGAGGACATGTGTTTTCCCTTTGTATCTGGCGTTGGTCGGGGAGCGACTAGGAGGACGGGCTCTGTTTTTGTTCCAAGTGCTATTCTTTTCATTTCTTTTCTTTGAATCAATGCAAGGCGTACATACCCCCTTCGGAGGATTTTATGACATTCTTGTCACGGTCATGAGACTTGATATTTCCCCATTCCTCGACTTCTCCTAGATTGGTCTCTTTTTCATCGAAACAACACTATTCGTCTGAACTCAGCCATGTCAGCCTCAACTCGGACGCAATGCTCCCAAAGGACTTGGGGTTACACCGACAGATTGGATACGAAAGCCAAAATGCCATTCAGCCACTCTGCCCTGCCAATCGCGCTGCAAAACGGGCCATTCGTGTCCGAGCTGAGGCAGTCAGCGACCCACCCCGCAGGGACATCTCCGCGACCTGACATCTGTAATCCAATTTATTCTTGGAAAAACGGACCCAACGGTGACCCCTGCCTGCATACGCAGGAAACCTCCCAGACCCGGTTTCTGCAGCGCCCTTGTCTCCATCCAGCGAAGATGCCGTTTGGGGGCCAAAAGCTCCGTGAGACCGGCTGAAGGGGGGTTTGGGGGCCAACGCTGAACTCGTCTCCGCAGCGGTTCATTCGCGGTGGGACGTGCAGTCTAATGCACGCCCCTGCAGCCTTACGAACGCCCTGGGAGTCAGAGTCTCTCGGCGGGGGCTGCTCATGCGCTATCTGGCCGAGCCGTCGGCGAGGCCGTGGACATGGTGGAGAGTCTCTCGTCCGTTTAAATATTTGAGGTGCTGCGCTGCGCCTTCTTTTATCTTCAATCGTCGCTATTCCAAATGGGCAGTGCGATTTAGTGCGATATACAAAACATCGCAGGAGCAAAAAGAAATATAACGGCTCCCCCACCACTCCCGGCAATAGATTTATTTCTGCCAGGGCCCTGTTGTCTTTTGTTTTTCTTTTGCCTACTAGACTGACCTCGACACAATGACTCTCACGGAGTATGAAGAGGAGATGATGATGTGCGGAGCGTCGATGCCCCCTGCCTCGTCTCGTTCTAACAGTCGCCCGCCCGGCAATCGGGCACGTTCCCAAGCGCCCCAGGACGCCGTGCGGCAGTTTTGGAACGATTTCAACACCAAGTATCCCGGGAAAGTGTACACTGTGCTCCCGGATAATCCTTATGCGCGTACCCGTGCGAAGCGGGTCCCTAACGGCGTGATCCAAGGCCATGAGGCCGTCAAGTCGTACGAACAGGCACGCAATGAATGCCAAAAGTCCGTGGAACGTATTGTTAAGGAATGCGAGCGAGTGAACCAGAAGTATACCGATCCCCACTTTGACATCGAGCTCGATCTCAAGTCTGGTATGCGCCACTATCTGGATGGGCTGGATAAAACAAATGAGATTATGCGACCACGCGGCGTGAAGAGAGTAACGGTTCGTCCAAAGGCCTCATGGCGTCATTCGGGAATTTTCAGCGAATGGTGTAATTAACAAATTATAGGAAATCTTTGAAAATCCCCAATTCTTTGTCAATGGACCGAAGGCTTCGGACGTCCGTCAGGGATATGATGGCGACTGCTGGTTGATGGCTGCGCTGTGCACGATGGGGAACAAGACTGGTCTCATCGAGAGGATTTGCGTGGCCCAGGACGCCAAGATTGGGATTTATGGATTCGTTTTCTATCGCGGTAAGGGCTTATGTGCAGTTTACCGCGGAGCGATACTGACTCGACTTTTAGATGGCGAATGGCAGCAATGCATTGTAGACGATAAGCTCTATCTGCGTGCTGCCGATTATGACGAGTCAATTGATGAACGCCCGCTGTGGGACGACATTAACCGGACAGACACCGAAGAGGAATATCGCCGAGTTTGGCAGACCGGCTCCAGGGCGCTCTACTTTGCGCAGTGTGTCGATCCAAATGAAACTTGGCTTCCACTTTTGGAGAAGGCGTTTGCGAAGGCACATGGTGACTACTCTGCGATTGAGGGTGGATTCGTCGGGGAAGGTATCGAAGACCTGACTGGAGGTGTCACATCAGAGGTTCTATCTAGCAATATCCTAGACAAGGACCGATTCTGGAGTGAGGAGCTTATGAAAGTCAACGAGGAGTTTCTCTTTGGCTGTGGAACTGGCTTGTTTTCCAACTGGTTGGACCCAAAGTATGATGGCCCCCCAAGAGACCGAAAAGGGGATTTCAGAGAACCATTCATACTCCATTATGGAAGCCAGAGAAATCAAGGGACATCGCCTCCTACGACTTCGGTAAGTATTGCTAGCATATTACGGCAAAGAATTACTACTAACTCTGTTCAAGCAACCCATGGGGAAAGAAGGAATGGCATGGTGCATGGGGTGATGGGTCCGAACAGTGGACAGCAGAGTGGATGGAGCTTCTGGGCCACAAGTTTGGTAACGATGGGGTACGTGCAGAATTTACGGTCGGTTCCTGGGCTTTATTAACTCGCAAATAGTTCTTTTGGATCTGCTACAATGACCTGCTCAAGAAGTATCAGCACTTTGACCGCACCCGTCTTTTTGGACCGGAATGGACCGTCACACAACAATGGACGACATTGAATGTGCCCTGGTCAGCTGATTACCACAGTTCCAAATTCATAATGGATGTCACGAAGAGCGGCCCTGTAGTCATTGTTCTTTCGCAGCTTGACACCCGCTACTTCAAGGGACTGAGTGGCGAGTACAACTTTGTTCTCAAATTTCGGGTCCAGAAAGAGGGAGAGGAAGATTACATGGTGCGCAGCCACAGCAGCCATTTCATGGCTCGTTCCGTGAATGCCGAGATCGACCTAGAACCAGGTCGCTACCATGTTCTCATGAAAATCATCGCTTTCCGACACGAAGAAACAGAGTCCACCGAAGAGATAGTCCAGCGCGTTGCTTCAACAAGGCGTGAGAAGCTTGTCCAAGTCGGTCTTTCTTATGATTTGGCCCATGCTAAGGGCGTGGTTGTCGAAACAGAGCGGGAACGATACGAGAGGGAAAGACGCAAAGCTGCCGACCGGAAGAAGCTTCGCGAAGAGACGAAGAGAAGACTACAGAAAGAATATATCCGCGACCGAAAGATGGCTGCTCGACAACAGCGGATGGAGGTGCGTCGCTCTGGCCGGGTTCCCAACGGCATCTCGATTGATCGGAGTCCCGAGCGTAGCCCTATCCCAGGACAGGTCCTGCCAGAGACCCAGACTCAATCGCCCACCGACGTTGCAAGTACCTCCAGCGATGGAAGTGACCGAAGACCAACAACGAATGGCTCGGTCCCCACTATTCAATTCAATGGACTACACGCGAGACATGCGAGCAGTGGATCTCATCGAAGACGTACCGAGTCACCACGTCCAAGCCTCAATACTCGCCTGGCAACCGACAACTTGAATGGCAGTGATATGGAGCTGCTTGACGGGTTTGAGTTCGATAGTGACTTGGACATGCCGCCAGATGAGGCGGAGTGCAAGCCTCCTACTTCTTTGCAGGGATCCAACCAACCCAATGCCGACCCATGGAATGCTGTCTGTGTCGTTGGATTGCGCGTGTACTCCAAGGACTCGGGTCTGAGCCTGGAGGTGGTTCGTCCTGTTCCAGAGGATGATACTGAGGCCCCACTGGACCGTGACGATCCAGCTGCATCAGCCACTATTGAGAAGGCCTTATGGGGCATGGACTTCGCTGTATGATGGGAAGAGCGAGGTTGAGAACTTTTGAAATTACATCATTTGAGCGCATAGACTGAACAGCGATCGTACATGTATCAATACTACATAACTAACTATTTACTGCAACTCTTCAAGACTGCTGCCTGCTGTTCGCTTTTTTCATTTTGAGAAATTACTACATTTAAGATAGGATCCAGGTGTACATATTACATCCAAAAATCATTATTCGTCGTCTGAAATGTCGTCAGGTTGAAGGCAGGGTCAGAGGCCCAGGAATAGTCCTCCATGCCCGCAATATACCCCATATCCAAATTCGACTCACTCGTCAACTCCGGCTTCAGCTTCGAGTTCAATTTATTGGAAAGCCCTCGCGCCACTAGAGATGCCATATCCGATTTCCTCCCAAGACATAGAAGTGCCCGAATACAGGTCTCACAGCCTTGGCGGAATTGATCAAAAGAGCCGCTTGATCCACAATGGACAGAGCCCAATGAGGTTTGCAAATTCTCGAGAAAAATGTATCCAGACTTGGAAAACGAGTGAATGAGAAGGACGGTGAAAGGCTCAGTAAGGAATGCCGCATCGTTAAGAGAGTCATGAAATTGACTCGGATGTGGCTTCATCGTCTCATCTTCATATATCGAGCATTGAGCAAGTGTCGCCACGGCAGACGCATTGTCTCTCTTGAGTGAGCCAGAGAACTGTATAACATTCCGTGACTGGCGCTGATGCTCTAGGCTCAGGTTTGTTTGGTCGATGTTTTCGATTACATCTGCTAGAAGCATTGCGCCAAGATGCCAATGTGCCGCGAGTACAACATACCATGACTGTACCCGAGGTGGTAAGGCTGCATGATTCGAGACGCAGTTCAGAATGAAAATGTTGTAAGCGTTATTCCAGTGTCGATATACCAGTAGGGCTTTCTGAATGCCTCCCTCGATCAATTCAGGCTCCGCATCTCGGTAGATGAGTGTTTGAAGTTGAGTGATTCGACGCCACAGTAATACCTTTACTGGAGCTGCGTCTGATAATATTTCGGCTGCTTCCTCGTGGAAAAAGGCCATGTTGGCATGGGCTTATCGGGCGTTTGATATCCAGCAGGTTTTTGAAGGAGAAAATCGCCCCACAAATCCTGCTTCCCGTTGCGTAGCTGACTCGACGAAAGACTGAACCCATCGAGGTCGAGCGAAGGCTCTGTAGCACCGAATGGTGACGTTTTCCAAACGGAGTCTGAAGCCTTTTGGCTATCTTCGTCGGAGACTACAGGGGGTCGTTGGTGCATGGCGGCGATTTGGGTGTCAAACATGACCCCTAGCCAGAAGAGAAGGTCGAATGTATCACGGTTCTCAAGCTCATGGAGAGACGCATCTGTGTTGGTAGAGCTTGGAAGGGTGCCTGCTGTCTTTTCTCAAAAGTTCCATATTTCGTTGAACTCCTGGTCGGGGTTGAGCGGCCTTGTATCGAAAGCTGAACATTTGACGAACAGCGTTTTCGAGAAATATGTGTGCCAGGTCTTGCTCAAGGAGACCGTCGAGTCCGATCTCTTCTTGATCTGTGATGGGTCTTTGGGTGAGAGAGAAGAGAATATTGGCAAAGACAACGCGGAAAGAGGGTATTCCCACGGAAATCTCCAGTGTATGTTTCGCGTCGTTCCATAGGCTCTCCCGAAATGACTTTTCGTTTTGAATCAACGGATTTGATGAAATATAATTTGAGTCCTTTTGAAAATTCTGAGCCCATTGAGATGCAAATGCCATAATGGACTTGTGGAGAGCCTGCGACGCCTTTTTATCTTCAAGCACGCTCAGGGATCGTCCCCTTATTGATGTTGCTGCGTAATCCAATCGACAAACGCGTGTGCAAATCCTATTTGAAAAGTTTGGACCCCATTCACTTTGTTTTGTCCTCGGCTTTCCATGTTCGGAAATTCGGCTATATGGGCAGTTCCTTTCAGTGAGCCAACATGACAACGCGTTTTCCATACTGTCGTGATATATGCGAATTAAATTTTGGGTCATGGTCGAGCGAGCGTAGTCCCTTGCGGTTTGATCTGAAAGCGAACACAGAACCTGCTGATTTGGGAGCCGATTTGCTGCGTGTCTCGAAACAGGAGAGTAATATTGAGGAATATTTTCACTTGCAAGGCCAGCTCGCTCAAGTTGAATGAAGTCATTTATAGCTGTGCCCACCGAGCCTGGCAGTGATCCATTATTGACAGCTTGGGGGCCTGCTTCCTTGTCCAGCTCTTGATGATACATATCTTCGCCAGAGGCTTGCCAATTACTCCGAGGAGGAATATGATCAAGGCCGGGGGTGCAACTTGTTGTGTCGGACAGTTGCGTGACTTGATCTTCGGGCCAAGCCGAAATTGGGAATAAGTGTCAGCAGTATCAAGGTTTTCGTGCTCAAGTTCATTGCCTACGCCATCGAACGGCGGGCTTCCATTCGAAGATTTCCTTTGACAGGTGGTGGTAGGCGTGTCCGCTTCTTCCGATGGTGTGATTTTGATGGCCCCAGCTACTCTTTTCCGGCGTTGCTGGCGGCTGTGCTTCCTTGTTGAGAGCCACTGGAATGTACAGTCCTTTTTGTACCTTTTGCAATTCGAGCAGGAGTCGGGCCGATCGTCATGTAGCGTCTTTATCAGAATAGATCAGATCAGTTGGACTTTAGGGGCATTCTCATCGTGAGATAACACAAACCGGTGCGTCGCATCTCCTCTTTCCTTTCCTGCATTGGTCGCAGCTATGATCCGACCTCCGGCTGGGGGTCTCCATAGCTGACGCTAGGGAGAAGAGAGCGACTTTTTGCGGGGTATTGAACAACAAGATAGGAGATTACCGATCGCATGAGACTGGAGCTAGACCTTGGGTGGTTGTGGGGGTGAAAGAAAGAACTGACTACGCAACCCCTCACGGCTGTAAGTCAAAAGTGGAGGGCGATCTGCGAAATTGTGATTGGAGAATGAGCATCTACCCCATGGGGTTGGGATTGGGAGTTCTTCCTAGCCACACTACGCGTGAATGCACTATTTTTGTGACGACAGTTGCTGGCCATCTTGATTTCGGTTCAATAATTCCTAGCTCATAATTTTTGGCTGTCTAGCGAATGGTGTTTGCTAGTAAATGTTAAGGTACATGTATGCTTCCGTTACTCCGTACAGGAAATCCTACTGGTAGATAAAACTCCTGACACATATAGAACTCCTGGATGATCACTCTGGATATATAGAAGCTATCTAAGCTTAGCTCAACAAACTTGCGGATCCTCACATTCTATGTGTGGTGCTATTCCTCCTTAATAAAATGGAATCGCAATGAGGATCAGATCTCAACCGCGATCTCGAGCAGGCCTAGAATGCGGATCCGGTGAGCGGATCCGTTCAGCTAAAAGGGACCATCAAACATTGCAAATGCCACCAATCATATCTGCATATCGCGACTAGGATTTGCGGGGCCGTGACAAACGAGCTTTGCTTTTGCGGGGGCAGCAAACCATCACCTCGACCAAGAAGAGCCAGGAACGCGGGGATCGCATCCAGGGCTAAACAACGTCTCTGTTTGCGAAGAAGAGATCGTGTCATTGGATATCCGTTCCAATAGCTTCATCATGTTCGTCCGCATGAAAATGGAATCCTTGTCGAGGTTACATTTTAGGTGATCACTTGTGCATATGATCGGTTGGGATGGCTATGGTATTTTAATGCCCCTGGAGCTCGATGATTCGGACCGAAAGAGAATTCTGCATTCTCCTCAATCGTCTTTATCTTGGGACTTTCAACCATGTCTTTCAGAACTGAGCTAAAGGAAAACGCCTTTCGTCGGGAATCAACCGGCCCCTATGCCGACAACCTCAGTGTCGATGCACTAGTCGTCGGTGCCGGGTTTGGAGGCATCTTCTGTCTTCACGAGCTGCGAAAATTGGGACTCAATACCGTCATATTTGAAGCCGGGAACGAGTTGGGAGGTACTTGGAGATGGAACTGCTACCCTGGTGCCGGGGTGGACTCGGAAGTACCTGAATACATGTATTCAATCCCAGAGACTTGGAAAGATTGGAACTGGTCAACCAATTATCCATCATATGACGAGTTGCGAAGATATTTCGATCATGTGGATGGTGTTCTTCAGGTCAAGAAAGACTGCGCATTCAACAGTGTCGTTATTGACGCGCAATTCGATGTGAAGGAAGGTCGCTGGCACGTCAAGACAGCAGATGGCAGATCCGCCAGCGCCAGGTACTTCATTGTTGCGACAGGCTTCTCCGCCAAGCGGTACATTCCAGAATGGTCGGGGATGGACAAATTCAAAGGAATTGTCCACCATTCCTCCTTTTGGCCCGATGAACATATTGATGTGCGTGGCAAACGCTGTGCAGTTATTGGCACTGGGGCATCTGGCGTGCAAGTAACCCAAGCCTGGGGGCCCACTGCCGGCTCATTGAAAGTGTTCCAGCGAACTCCGAATCTGGCGCTTCCGATGAAGAGAAGGGCTCTTACGGTGAGCGAACAAGAGGAGGCCAAGAAGTCTTATCCCGAGCTGTTTTCTCTCCGCGAGAAATGCTTTGGTGGATTTTTGTACACATTCGACGAAAGAGACACGTTCGACGATAATGAAGAGGAAAGACAAGCTTTTTATGAGAAGTTATGGGACGAGGGTGGATTCCGCTTCTGGCTCGCCAACTATAAGGACTACCTTTTCGATGCTAAAGCGAACCGCCCTGCTTACGACTTTTGGAGCAAGAAAACTCGCGAGCGTATCGGGGACCCAAAACAGCGAGACCTCCTAGCGCCTTTAGAGCCGCCGCATCACTTCGGAGTCAAACGGCCTTCATTGCAATCCACCTATTATGAACAATTCAATCGACCAAATGTCGAGGTAATCGATATCAAGAACAATAATATCGTGGGCTTCACAGAAAACGGCATTGAGCTACAGGATGGAGCTGTCCATGAACTGGACGTTATTTGCATTGCCACAGGGTTTGATATTTCGACCGGCGGTATGACTAACATGGGACTGAGGAGTATCTATGGCACAGCATTGGAAGATGAGTGGAAAGCAGGCGCCTACACATATCTGGGAACCACCGTGCGTGGCTATCCCAATATGTTCCACCTTTACGGTCCGCATGGCCCCACGCTTTTCAGCAACGGACCTACTACTGTCGAGATACAAGGTCGCTGGATTGCCCATACCATCAAGCAGATGGAGCGGCAGAATATCAAGTACATCAACCCGACACGCGAGGCTATAGAGACGTGGAAGAAACGCATCAACCATCTGTCTGATATTACCTTATTCCCTACCACCAAATCCACCTATATGGGCGGAAGTCTCCCTGGGAAAGTATTTGAGCAGGTGAACTACGCTGGTGGGGAGCCTGCTTATGCGCAAGAAATTCGCTCCGTTCTTCCAAACTTCGACGGCTTTGATATTGCTAAGAGCTCAAGGGAGACGGGCCAGGTGTCTAGTAAGATCTGATTAGCGAACGAATTTGATTTTCCAATTATTTTGAAAGTGCTTACTTGAACCTCCGAACTTGGTGCGTAAGATTGTAAAAAGTTTAAGACACTCATATCATATTCTGGTCGACGCGGGTTAGTGCTACAGAACACTTGAATCCACGAATGGTGACTAGCAGTAGTAAAACAACCCACCATTTCTTGTATAAAAACAATAATTTAATTCTAGATTACCATTCGTCATCGCCAGAAGTCCCTGGCCCATTTGACTTTGTTTATAAACTTTTTCGTATCAAATCCCGCCAACTGCCAAGAGCCCATGGGACTTACATAAGTGGAATTCTCACTTAGTTATTTGTCGGTATGAGTGGGGAATTGGTATTGTAAGGCATGGTCAGAATGTATCATTGTAACTTAGCCAAGAGTCTTAGTCATGGTCGGTCGCATACAAATTAGTATGTGAGCGAACATAACAAAAATTAGACAACTACCCATGGACCTGATTGGACGTACATTTCTGTTCCGACAGTTATGAGCCCGGCTTGCTAAGTGAATATATTGCCTATTCTGTCGAATCTGAGGCTATTCATACCGTTTATCTGTCGAATTGACCCCGTCGGTCAATTACCCCTGAGAGCGAACCGATCTGTACACAGTATCTGCATCGAAAGCAGCACTGTTGAATACAACCCGATACCGCTATGGAAAACGCTGTTATCTCCGCTTCGCAGAGCGTCAAGCTGCGAACGTCGGCCGATTGGATCGATTGGATACGTGCTATCCGCGATGTCGCCGAAACCGACCGTGTATGGAAGTTCATCGATCCCGATACCCCTGAGAGTATTCTTCCTGAACCGAGAGAGTGCCCTGAACCACCGTCTCCCGAAGCGAATGCAACGGCGATCGATCTATATAAGATAAATTATCAGCGATGGGATCGAGAGGAGAGAGGACTAGCCAATATCAAGAGAGTGATTATGGCAACCGTTGAACCTGCAGTTAGGGATCAGCTGTATGATAAACCTACTGTGCATGGACGTCTAGTGATGTTGAGAGACCGATACTCTGACTCTGGAAACCTGAATGAGGAATATCGCCAGGACTATATGTACAATGCAGTGTATCCACCGCGGAAAGGTGAGGATGTAAAAGCATTTGTACGTCGTTGGGAGAAGATGAGAGATCGGATGATTGCTATTGGTGAGACCCAAATGAAGTTTAACAAGGACTTCCTGTTAGCAGTGAAGCATTTGGCACCAATGTGGCACACACAACAACTTCGACCTATCACGATCGAGAGCACCAAGATGGATAATAGTACATTGGTGAATGACTTCCTGGCTCACTACCGCGAGCACTTTGGTAGCGCACCAGCACCAGCGCCACCGACCAATCTCCGAGGTCATTCAGCACCAAGAGCTGCATTCTCAACTCTTCAAGGTAGCACTGAGGCTGTACCAGATTCGCCAAGTGCAACAAAACCGGCTAAGAAGCGGTCGTTGAAGGATGTGCCAATGGCTGAGCGATGGTGCCCGTGTGGTAAAAGAAACCACAAACCATGGGAATGTCCATATATCAATGAAAAGGAGAGATCGGCCAATTGGAGTGCCGATTCGAGAACTCAAGGAAGGATCAACCAGATGCTCAAGGATCATCCTGATTGGAAGGAGTTTATTGACAAGGAGATCAAGTCAGCCAATCAGTATTATTCAGCTGAAAAACAGGGTGCTGCCCTAGGTACTTGGTCAATGACTACGCTGGCACTGAATTGTCTTAATCAAAGGCCTCACCTTAGGGATGAATGGGTATTTGATACAGCAACTCATCGCCATATCTGTGTGGACCGAGATCTGTTCATTGAGTATACCCCTGATGAATCAGTCGTCAAAACTGGTGACAGTGTCACTCGCACCTTAGGGTATGGAACTGCAGTAATGTCCTGTATTGACCCTAGAACGGGTGCGCGAAGCAGCGTCAAATTGCATAATGCCTGTCATTCACCTACCTTCCAAGCCAACCTAGTCTCGTATGGTTGTGCAAAGGAACGTGGCTGCCAATGGGATGAGATGAACAACTGTATAAGAGATCCGAGAGGCATCCCATTTGCACGTGTAGCCTGGAATGATAATGCGAAACTGTGGCTGTTTGATAAGCCACAGGGTGATGC